GCGTGACGTAGGGATGACAACCCGCCATGTCATGGTTTGTTTGATGACGTCACGGAAATGTGTCACCTTCGCTCGCCAGCTAGCTAGCGCGCCGCGATGCCGCGGTTGCCGATTGTTTTTTCTTTCTTTCTTTTTTCTTCTTCTTTTTTTTTGTGTATGGGTGATCGTGATGGATGGGCTTGATGGAGTCAGATCAGACTCAGGCCTACTACTACGTACTACTACTAGCAAGAGTCCATGGGTTATTGGTTATGGACTCTTGCTACTAGGGATAGGCCATAGCATAGGGGCAAGAGTTCCTAACCCCGGGGTTAGGAACTCTTGATAGGGGCTATTATTATTATTATGTGCTGAGTCTGCTGACCATGCACAACACTTTGAACTGGTCAAAAACACATGGGATAAAGCTGAAAGACACAAGGTACTCAATCTATGCACAGGAGTGTATAACGGTATACATGTACATATTATAACAAGGGACCGAGTGTACTGTAAGACATGTTATTATAACGAGTCGCACATTTAACGATTGTCCAAAATTCATAGGTTAACGAGAAGATATGTTAACAATCTTGCAGTATTCTGCCATATACACACACAGCATATATGAAGCAGTACGGCCTCAATGGATCTATTATAACGAAGAAATGTCATCCGTTAAAACGTTAGATTTGCTTCCTCGTTATATATACATGTACATGTCTTACAGTATATCGAGAAATATCGACCAGTACAAAAAACCGAGGCGAAGCCGAGGTTTTTATAACTGGTCGATATTTCTCGATATACACGAGGTCCCTTGTTATAATATATTTATACCTCTCCATGCGCAAGCTCAAGAGCAAAAGGAGTGAATATAGCTTTCTTTCCCTAAAAGGAGTTTTTTTATTTTTTATTTTAACTGAATACCGCAGTACCATCAGATGCTGCACAGCGGGGGCGGTGGCATATTGGATGGAAGTGGGGGCGGGGCAGAAGTAACTCCTCCGACCAAAGGTCTCGGAATCATCGTTACTCCTGTGCGCCGATACATAGGAGAAAAGAAACATGTGCATCCAAGAAGGGAGCACCGGCTTAAACGCGGCTTTGCAAACGATAATGGGGAGAATTTGAGATTGGGACAGGACAAAACAATAGTAAAAGCAGTGCACCGTAGGAAGATGGAGTGAACTGATAATCGGATTTTAAGGCTGAGCGAAGGGGATCAAAGAGGGGTAGAAGGGAGCTGGAGTGCGGTCAGTATAATTAGGCTGGTGTGTTGGCAGAGATCATAGCCTGTCTGTGGCCCACTCCCACTTGCTGCGCAGCAAGTGGTCATTGACGTTTTTCTTGAACGTGTGCATACCTCTGCGGGAAGGGGGAGACTGCAGAAGGGTAGGTGGGAGCTGATTCCACGTTCCGATGAGGGAGTGGGGAAATGAGCGGAGCGTGTTGTTTCGTGCCTGAGGAGGAAGAATACTGGTGAGTTGCGATGGATGATGTGTTGCAGATCTGGTTGTCTCACGAGTAGACATGCGGCATTGCGGTGCGGCTGCTGATGGTGGCAGAATGGCTTTCACCATTTCCGGACCCTCCACAAAGTGCATATAGCTTTGGAGAAAGAAACCTATACACTCCTTTTGTCAGTGGTTTTTTGTATGGTTTTCCTCAGTGGTGTATATACCTCCTTAGTGGTGTATATACATGTACCTCCTTAGTGGTGTATATACATGTACCTCCTTAGTGGTGTATATTGAACAGTGTATATGGAAATTAATAATACGAAGTAGTGGTTGCGACTTCGGCGATGATTTGTAAGAAAGGGTTTGCTCCCCACACTGGAGCTCGCGCTATTCCGCCGACTTTACTTGACACTTGACTGACTCACGACTGCTATCCAGAGCACACGAGAAGTCCATCGAACCTTCGACTCGGCAAACCTGCAAGAAAGCACCACTCCCAACCTTTCTTGCAGGTTTGCCGAGTCGAAGGTTCGATGGACTTCTCGTGTGCTCTGGATGGCAGTCGTGAGTCAGTCAAGTGTCAAGTAAAGTCGGCGGAATAGCGCGAGCTCCAGTGTGGGGAGCAAACCCTTTCTTACAAATCATCGCCGAAGTCGCAACCACTACTTCGTATTATTATTATTCTCCTTTATACACTTCTTTCGAAGGCGATAAGCCAGACCCACCGGGAAATATTTCCATGGGTGGGACAGCAAAAAGAAAGTGAAAAAAATAAAAAATAAAAAATAAAACAAAAAGGACAAGAAATAGTTGAAGGAAGAGGAAGAAAGGAAAGAAACTCAATCCAAACTCCAACATCAAAACAATAAAAAAGAATTTGCAGCGACAGGCAAAGTACATCAACCAATGAAGAGAGTAACAAAGGAAATATCAGTCTTTATCAGTCGTTATTCAAGTCTCTTAGCTATTGAACATGCAAACGCAGCAGAGGTGCATCTACATGGATAGTTCTTAGTATTTTAATCGAACCTTGGATAGCCTCCTGTTGCACAATAGCCAGGTCTCCTCCCTGCACAGTCCGAAGGCATTGAGGAGTCTCCCCCACCAAGCCTCCCAGGGCACCGACAACCACAGGGACCACGTCAACCTGGGCGAAGGACCAAATCCTTAAAATCTCCCGCTTCAAATCATAATATTTCGAGCGCTTTTCAGCCATTTTCTTATTGATGTTGTTCTCACCAGGAACGCTGATGTCTATAATGTAGGCGATGCGCTCCTTGTCATCAACAAGGAGCAGATCGGGCCTGTTTGCTGATAGTTTCAGGTCAGTTGGAACCGAATACTCCCAATAGAGGCGATACCGATCACTCTTGACCAATGCCTTGAGCTGGTGGTCGAATCGTGAAGCACCAGTAGGTAGATCTCGTGCTTTACACATTTCGAAGTGCACATACTTTACTATCCGGTTATGTCGTTCAATGTAACTGGTCCGAGCAAGAACTGGGCAGGCACTGACGATGTGGTCAATTGTTTCTAAGCTGCCCTTGCAAAGCCTGCAATTGGCATCAGTTCGAGCAATTGTCTTCATTATGGCGTATTGGTAATTTTTCGTTTTGAGGGATTGGTCTTGTGCTGCCATAATCATGCCTTCAGTTGAAGGTTTCAGTGTCCTTGATTTCAACCACATGAAGGTAAGCTCCTTATCTAGGCGATTCTCCTCCAATCGGCTCCAATATCTCCCATGCAGCGGCATAGTGGAAAGTGTTTTGGATTTTCGCTCAGCGCACGCTTGTTTAATGGTATGCTTATTGGGTAAAGCTGGTCCAGCTGCTGGCAGATCCAAACTCGACAGGAACTTAGCGGCCTTTGCAGTTATTGAGTGGCTTTTTGTTGTAGGTTTTTGTTGATGATACTGATAAAGCAGCCTTATTCTGTCTATTGGGCTGGTACTCATGTAGCGGGCCAGGCCACACATGCTCCGGCCGTGCATATCCTCACAAGAGACCAAGCCCCGGCCTCCATCTCCCCTCTTCATGTAGAGCCTGTTGACTGAGGCTTTGGGGTGGTGAAATCCAGACGCAGTCAAGGCTGATCTTGTCGCTCGATCTGTGGTCTTGATTTCAGCCTCGGTCCAATTTACGATTCCATAACTACATGTATAATTATGTCATAACCGGCAGAGCATACGTATTGATGGCCTTGATCATGTTTCGCGCATTCAATCCACTGTTAAGAAGCAAATACAATCTCTTTTTGTATTCTGCAGTGAGTTGCGTCTTGAGCTGCGGGTGAGGTATCATGGCTGCTTGCACTACTCCAAGGTACTTGTATGTTTCATTGAGTCGTAGCGACTCTGCAATGGTCTCATCGCCAACCTGGATAGAGCATCCTTCCACTTCCTTTAGTAGTGACCCTGCATCTCCCCTGGTCGCATGTGTGCATTGTCGTTCTCCAGTTCTGCATGCTACGAGCAATAGTTGTGACCAAAGACGGGTCGTCAAAGCATGTAGAATCCATTCATGCGACACACTATCAAACTTATTATTATTATTATTATTATTATTAACGAAGTAGCGGTGAGGCATCCTGCAGCTTCATAACTCGAAGAGAATTGGTGAGCACACATGCTCATTCCCTGGGCACTGCAAATTCACAACTCATTTCATTTCACATAATCATTTTCAACGTTTCGGCAAATTGCCATCATCAGGATACAATATGAAGTGGAAGTCTGCCAAGGAGCAGTTATATACACTAATTTGGTGTTCTTAGGCGTTGATAATATTTCTATGACTACATATGTTACCTCAGTGCTAGAAATATGACATGTCTAAAACTAGTGAAAGATCACAAGTTTTCACTGACTCATATGCTGGGTGTTGGTAATAAGTTAGCACAGCGCAGATGTCACCAGATAACTTGAGAAATGTCTGAACAGGTTTCTCGCAAGCAATTCACGAATGTGACCATGTCAGTGGTTTCCAGTAAATACTGTCACCTAGATAGACAGTGTGGTGTGATTGTTTTAGAGTAATGACCATCCAGCACTGGTGTTGATCTCTGGGCCTTCGTTTCTGATCTCCACTGCCTCTCGCAATTTGCGGCTTGCCCGGAAAAATACATCGGAGAGACGGGTCGCACACTGGAGACAAGACTGGAGGAACACAACGGTGAAGCTCGTAGGCGCACTGTAGATAAGCCATGGGGTGACCACATGCGAGCTAAGCATGCAGGGATCAACCTAGGTGTCGGGGACAGCATCTTCTCGGCAGTGTCTGTGGTTGCAAGAGCCAGTGACAGGGCAAGCCGCAAATTGCGAGAGGCAGTGGAGATCAGAAACGAAGGCCCAGAGATCAACACCAGTGCTGGATGGTCATTACTCTAAAACAATCACACCACACTGTCTATCTAGGTGACAGTATTTACTGGAAACCACTGACATGGTCACATTCGTGAATTGCTTGCGAGAAACCTGTTCAGACATTTCTCAAGTTATCTGGTGACATCTGCGCTGTGCTAACTTATTACCAACACCCAGCATATGAGTCAGTGAAAACTTGTGATCTTTCACTAGTTTTAGACATGTCATATTTCTAGCACTGAGGTAACATATGTAGTCGTAGAAATATTATCAACACCTAAGAACACCAAATTAGTGTATATAACTGCTCCTTGGCAGACTTCCACTTCATATTGTATCCTGATGATGGCAATTTGCCGAAACGTTGAAAATGATTATGTGAAATGAAATGAGTTGTGAATTTGCAGTGCCCAGGGAATGAGCATGTGTGCTCACCAATTCTCTTCGAATTATTATTATTATTATTATTATTATTATTAACTGGTTTTGAGGGAAAGAGACAAACGGGAAAAGTCTGAAGAAAAAATTGACCGTCACCACCAGGACTCGAACCAGGGACCCTCGCTTGTAGCCAGCGATGCTCTAACCACTGAGCTATGGTGTAGTCGTCATCCAAGCAGAGACCGTTCAACGTTTTCTTCAGACTTCGTAACTCACACTTCCTGTGAATCCACACAGGCGGGTGGGACGCAGCCCTCACTGTAACCCACACACTTCACGTACAAACTAGCACGCGGGGAGCCCCAAGTCATAAAATATTAACTGGTTTTGAGGGAAAGAGACAAACGGGAAAAGTCTGAAGAAAAAATTGACCGTCACCACCAGGACTCGAACCAGGGACCCTCGCTTGTAGCCAGCGATGCTCTAACCACTGAGCTATGGTGTAGTCGTCATCCAAGCAGAGACCGTTCAACGTTTTCTTCAGACTTCGTAACTCACACTTCCTGTGAATCCACACGGGCGGGTGGGACGCAGCCCTCACTGTAACCCACACACTTCACGTACAAACTAGCACGCGGGGAGCCCCAATTCATAAAATATTAACTGGTTTTGAGGGAAAGATATTATTATTATTATTATTCTCGTATCCGTCCCGAATGGGACTCACGAAGGCAGAATTAACTGTGAGCATGTGTGTGTGAGAGTGGGAGAACGAAATGAAAAAGAAAAGAAGAGTCTTGTAATAAAGGTCAAATTTAAGAAGAGCAGTGCTAGACTAAATGGCTGAGCAGATGTTACTCCATTGTTTTCTGTCGCGGGCATAGGTGCCGAGATCACGAAGGCAGCTGGGCTTAAAAATGCAGATAGGTGTGAGGCGGACGTCTCGCTGGAGACTTGTGGTGAGGCAACAGCGGGGTGCACCTATTCGAAAGGGCTGACTGGTAGCATATGTACAGAAAGCAGTGAGAGCAACATTTGCAGGGATGTCACTTGGCTGGCGTAATATATATGTCCTAATAGCTTCCACCTGTCCCGGGTGTATATGGAGTGAGGTATAATGATACATGTACCGGTATAATGGGTATGCCATACACACGCGCAGCAGCCATTGGTTGTACCCAGATAACAGCATTATACAGGCGAAGCTTGCAATACTTACCTGTCCGATGCAGGATTTGATCGAGAAAAGGTGAAACAAAAGACTGTAGCCCCAAGTGCTACCATCTGCTTGACACAACCACGCAGCCACGGGGAAATTTCATACAGGTCCATTTGTGGTCGTGTGCCAATATGGTGCAGCTTATGGGACAGTAATCCGTTGTGAAACCGTTCCTTACATGACTTCTGGACTTGTTGCCTATGCAACTGTGTGTTGCTCCAGTCACCGCTGAACTTAGACCCCATCCACTGACGTGAGCTATGACCAGGACAACCCGTGAGCACAACAGCAATCATGGCGGAACTATATCAGATCTAGGTGGCTTATGACACACTTTTACTCCACACATGATGTACAGTGTGCATGCGTATGTATAGAGTCTATAGAAGGCATATGCGGATAATACCGGCAGAAAAATTGGCACTGAGAATTCGGTACTTTTTCTGGTACTACACTGTACTGTCTGTACATAATGTACGTCGTGTCAACTTCATGCATGTGCGAATTATGTTTGCTAATCCTTCTCATAACGCGAATTCCGTCACTGAGTTCGACTTTCCTTGGAGAGCGAACGCGAACTCGAATTCCGTCTTGCTTATCCTCCGCAATAACATGCACGGACGAAAGGATACAGTAATTGTCACACGGATTAACTTGAACAGTTCTCGCAACAGGACTCACCAGCGACATCATGACAGGGAGAGCACAGATTCACTGTCCGTGTATAAGTCGCGGCATAGCCCTCCCAAACCTTCACGCCACCATGGCCACCATGGCCGACATCTGACACCCAACACAGCTCTGGGCCAAAGTGTCAGACAAGTGCCGAGCGAACAAGACGCTTTGTAAACCTCAAATTCCCCCTGCAAGGCACAGTTCACTCTCACGTTATGTGACAGACTAAAACATGCACATAGACGGAGACACGTAGGGTGTTGCTCCAATTGGCAGAGGTGTATGGACAGCAACGCCCATGAAAACTGCCCAGATGCAAAGGTCGGATCCGAACAGGGTGCTGGCCGCTCCTTTCCTGTTGGCAAGGTGGTGATCACGGTCGGATCCACCTGGCTGCCCAATGCATGTATCGGATGACATATAATCGTCATGTGTATGACTGTACATGCACGCAAACCCCGCTTGCATTCTACAGTAATGCACTCTGCGCCGCTAGGACCTAGATCTCACCGGATGATACTGGACTGCACGACCGTCAAGCAAGTCATGCACCACGCGTGGACAAAACATGGTGTCATGACCGTGAGAACCGTTCTAGACATGTGAATATGGCTAGGCTATAGTGACATTCGTCTCGGTGTTGTAGGGCCGAGTTGCTGGCCAATAAAGGTATAAAAGCCGATCGGATGTATCAGCCATTACAGTTGGAGAGAGTCGCAGGAATCTACAAAGCGCCCGAAGAAGTGGACACGATCTCCAGGTCACAGACCGTACGTCGTCGCGGGAAGTGCCCAGTCATCTGTGTGCTGGTTCATTCTTTTCTATCATTCTCTTGGTCATGGATTCTGGCAGGGCCGGCGGCTTACCGCTGGTTTTCTTGGCTGCCTATGCTGTCCTGCTAACACCATGGCTTGTCACTGGTGCTGAGAAAGTCTCAGCAAGAACAGGTGAGATGCGTTGCGTCACCCGGTACATTGTACATGTATACCATAGTATCCACTTCTAAAATAGGAATCTTCTTGAGCTCAGGATGGGCGATTTTTACTGAACCTTAAAATGCATTATTCTTGTGCTTGATCGCATAGATATACAATCATGTGCAACATTTTAAAATGTAGGTGGCTAGCTTCTAGTTTTCCGCCCTGCTTCCGTATACTAGCTGGTTACCTCGTAAAAAAAGATAAGAAAAGAAAGCTGTAACACGTTAGTACCCTGCATCTAGCGTCCTTCCGACCAGAATTGTTATGGGCAATGCACAAAATGTAGAGCTACGTAGAGCTTGATTGTGCCAGTGCTGTGTGACAATCGCATTGTATCATAGTGTATCAGGTAACTGCGAATGGTGTGAGAATTGAACATATAATTATTATAGTGTTACCGTAGGATGTATCCAGGTTGCTGAGAGGGCTGAACAGCCCGGAGGAAGAGCGTGTTACACCTGATGGTGCCTGATAATCGCATAGCATGAAACGCAGAGTTGCAACAACCTAGCCTTGAGCCTTGTTGTTCGTTGTACTGAATATTATTAATAATTTAATATAATTATTATTTGCAGCGAAGACTCAAGACACTTTGTGAATATAATTATTGATGTATTCAGTGACCTGAATACACATGGAAACAAGGAAAACGGTGGGACACAAGCTATGCGTGCTTGCGTACTTGTCTTTCTGGTGCTACCTTGTGCACGTCTCACTGTTTAAAACCTGATTAAATTTTAGTTGGTGGACTCTATCTTTTGTAACGCATAACTTGTGGCCGACCGTTTTCCGTGTTTCCATTAATTTTCAATATTTTTCTTGGCTCCCTATCTGAATATACATGGTGTAAGATTGTCCAATGGTGCTTACATGCATAAATAGACCACTTCCATGGCTCTAATATTCACACTTGACGCAAATTAATGTGATGATAAACTATTATGTAGAAAGGAAAAGGACATAAGGATACGAGTTAAGAGTAACTCTCCATCACTGTAACTGGATACTATAATTATACAGTCAGAAAGTGCAATAACTAGGCACACAACTGACAAGAGTACTGAGACATTCGACGTCCTGACACCTAGCTTCAACACATCTCCGTAGCGCTAACCGACAGCCTTCCAACTTGGAAGGTTCAAGGTTATGGAAAGAACCTTGAACCTTCCAAGTTGGAAGGCTGTCGGTTAGCGCTACGGAGATGTGTTGAAGCTAGGTGTCAAGACGTCGAATGTCTCAGTACTCTTGTCAGTTGTGTGCCTAGTTATTGAACTTTCTGACTGTATATAGTATCCAGTTACAGTGATGGAGAGTTACTCTTAACTCGTATCCTTATGTTCTTTTCCTTTCTACATTTATTTATGGCTCAACATCCGAGTTTCATAAACTATTATGATTAACTATAATAATTATAGTTTCGAAAGAAAAGGTACTGACGTATCGACGCAATCCACACAGTCAAGTAAGCCAATTTGGTAACCGAACGTTTTCGTTCCCTTCTCATCATGGGTAAATACAGGGAATAATGGAAAAATGTCCAAAATACAGCAATTTAATTTTTTCCACAAGTGCATGTATATCGTGAGGTTCTCGATCTATGCTTTTGCTGTACATGTAGCTGTATAAGTTGCTGTATTTGACATTTTTCCATTATTCCCTGTACTTACCCATGATGAGAAGGGAACGAAAACGTTCGGTTACAAAATTGGCTTACTTGACTGTGTGAATTGCGTCGGTGCAGACACCTTTTCTTTCGAAATTGGATACGCCTTCAATTTTTTTTCCTTTTAGTAATTATAGTTTATCATCATTTCAATTATTATAGCGCTAATGTTAGGTACTGGCGTTATAGGTGCTGAGGACGGAACCACACACTCCTATAAAAGAACATGACAATGCCATCGTACTGTAGTACAATCATGTAGCTTCTTCTTTTGAACAACAGTGTAGTCTAAGCCGGGATTTTGTTCTCGTTATCACGTTTGCTTTGTGGTTGAAGATTTCGAGTCTACTAAACTGAAGAGTATCGACGCCGCGCTGCATGCAATCAGTGCTCGCCTTCAAGTCGTGGAAAGCCAATCCGAGCAGTCAGCCATCCGTGCATCTCAAGCGATAGTCGATCTTGCACGGCTCATGGAGCAGAGTCTCAGTAGCAAGCTGGACGAGCAGGAGCAACGTCTGCAGAGTAGTATCCAGCAGGAGATATACCAGGTCCAAAGGCAGCTGCACAAATTGGAATCTCAGGTACGAACGTTGAAGCCACAAACCCAAGATATTATCTTGGGTAATCATGTCCATCGCAAGATGACTTGTATTATCTAACTTACTGAATGTAATATGCCCATCACTACTGGTGTCTATTTTTGGCGGGCTTTTTGTAACCTGTAGTGTAGGGTGCCCCATGTGCGGCTGACAGACCCAACACTGTGCAGTGTACACAGAACAACGGTACCACCAGGTCTTCTTTGCTTGTATTCGGAACGTGGTGCAAAAACCGCGCACAATCACACTCATGATCTTTGCTGTCTGACGAGTGAAATTCAAAGGAACAGCAAAGAAAGAACTGGTCGTGTGTTGTACAAAAGCCCCATGCTTCTCCAAAGACATGCTAAGCAAATCTACCCTGCTTCAGTATGGATCATCTCAAGCTCCCAGCACATTCTCATAACGTTTTCAAAATGTTGGGCTGGACCTTTCAGCATAGTGTTTTCATACCACAAGCATTGTCATTTACATATACATGTTACATGTAGGTGTAGGTGTAGGTGTGACTACTGGTAACGGTTTTGCGCGGTCTGTATGTGTGAATGTGTGTACATGTGCGTGTATGTATGTGCGTGTGTGTGTATGTGCGTGTGTATTCATGTACGTGTCTGTTATACGTGCGTAGCTATCATCCTACCCTAGATCTTGCAAGGACATTCTGGAAGGTGCCTCGTATCCACCACCTTCAGGTAAGTTCGTTTGCAACTGTACTTTTCACGTTGTTTGCCCTGATCTCACGTACAGCACTATAATATTACTGTCTTGTAACATGAAACCTATAGGGGACTTGAACTAAATGCTCTACATTCCCGTCGTCTCACTAGCATAGCTCTCTGATTTTTATACTCGCCGGATCGTCAGTCCCTCAGTGACATCATTTTGCTGTACAGTACGGATCGGCTATAGCGTTGGTTTTTGATTTTCGTGAAAATATCACTATAGGCGATATATTACTATAGGCGATATGCATACTTAGGTATGCCTGACAAATGCGTGTATGGTGTCATTCGAATCAGTGCAGCGAGCAGAAGCGTGCTGTGCATGTGACTGTGCAATACGCGCCGGGCAGAGCTACTTCCTGCGGAAGCAAAAACTGCGTGACTTTTTGACATGAGTTTTCAAGGAATGTGTTCTTTTGGAAGAGAAACACTTCAACACATTCAATCGACATATCAACAATATCTACCGGATCGATTAGTGGGAGTAGAGTCTCAGTCTGGGTCGCCCTCGCTCGACTCATCACCGCTGAAACCGTTCCAAGTGGCAGGTCGATCGACGCGTGATGTCGTATGTCACGGAGAAGCTTCTCCGCGTCCCTGATCGTCTTTGCTGTTACCTGAATGCCTTCTCCAACATCTCGGCGGAGACCACGGTAGCGCTTCAGCGCTGGTACTCATTACTGCCTCCAATCTCGCTCGAGGATGCCCCGAAACAACAAGCACAGCCAACGCCAAACATTTCGAATTTTCTCCGAGGGATATCATAGTCGTACCAGCGCTTCCTGGCTGCCGCGATCAGATCTCGCCATGTACGATGTATACTTTTTTAGGATCATCACTATAGCCGATGAAAAATGTATGCAGTAAGATCATTTTGACACAGAAATCGTATCATTATAGCCGATATATTACTATAGCCGATTATTACTATAGCCGATCCGATATGTATAGAAAGGGGTGGTTTACGAAAATGAATTTGAGAATACGATCACTATAAGAGGTATATTACTATAGCCGACAACCCTATAGCCGATCCGCACTGTACTGCCATCACCTACGCATTGTGCACGTACTTGTACATGTACATTCATGTGTATATTCACGGCATGATCTGCGAGCACAATCCAGAGTGCTGGGACCAACAAAAGAGACCTTTAGTAGAGTTAGACTAGGCTGGAGAGCCAAGGTGAAAAGAAGAAAAGAAAAGGACCAAAGAGCTACAAGTTACGCTGTAATACCCACTAGCACCATCGGTTACTTTACAATCAGCTCCAGCGATAACGTTGCACGACACTAACCAACGGTACTGGCGTTCTACACCTAACTGGCAATCAGCTCTAGTACAGCACGCCTTGAATGCGCAATCCAACAGCCTTCCAACTTGGAAGGTTCTAAGTTATAGAATACAGTTGGTTGTAGAACGTGCGTACCTCAAGCAGGAGCTGGTAGTGAAGTTACTGATGGTGTTAGTGGATATTATAGCGTAACTTTTATCTCCTTGATCCTCTTTTCTTGCGTAGGGTTCGAATCATTTGTTTCATTTCATCATGGCTCTTGTTGTTCGTGCGCCATTTCCTATTTTCATTGGCAAAGATGGTAAGAGTCATGAAGTTGGTTGCTCCAGCGAGGAGCACACGCTTCTTGCCGAACTTGACACTTGACTGACTCACGACTGCCAGCCGGAGCAACCAACTTCATGACTATAACCGCCGAAGTCGCAACTTCTAAGTTCGTAAAGATGGTGAGATTGGGATAGCAACGTTGGAGATCATAGAGAATTCGTGTGTTGGTCAAGGCTCGAGTCAAGTTGTCAGGAAGAACGCAAGCTCTCACCTAGCGACCAATGCACAAAATAGAATGATGAATCTTGTTTAAAAGTGCATGCGCCCTTGGTTCACTGTACATGACGTATGGGTGCAGCCTGAACAAGAGTCTTCGACTGCATCACATGATGATTCCTGACGAACTGTCACTGCCTCACATACTTGCCAGCACCTGGCAAACAGTTTCCTTGACAGCGATGAGGTTTTTCCTTGATTTCAACCATTTTTCCTTGATCAGCTCAGCATTCGGAAAATTAATAGTACTGCATGTACGACAAAAAAGCACTTGTTAAACCGCTAACGCAAGAGTTCTTGCTCGCTATAGTTTCGTTGTGGGCACAGCACTTTTACAAAGCTTCTATGCTCGCGAGCGTTGAAAAACTGAAAATCAACAAAAAAAGGGGCTGAGGAACATTTTGCGAAATCCGGTAGATGTTATAACCGTTCCAGTATGCCGGGTCGAAAGCGAGTTTTCCTTGATTTTCCCAGAAATTCCGGCAGCGTTGGCAAGTATGGCCTCCATGAGAGTGCAGCAGATCAGCACTCCAGAGCTTTCACACACACACACACACACACACACACACACACACACACACACACACACACACACACACACACACACACACACACACACACACACACACACACACACACACACACACACACACACACACACACACACACACACACACACACACACACACACACACACACACACACACACACACACACACACACACACACACACACACACACACACACACACACACACACACACACACACACACACACACACACACACACACACACACACACACACACACACACACACACACACACACACACACACACACACACACACACACACACACACACACACACACACACACACACACACACACACACACACACACACACACACACACACACACCTTGAACCTTGAACGTGCCCATTGCCGATTGCAATGATAGCAAAGGGGCTATCTGCTAGCTTTGCAGTACGGAGCGCGCGCGCACGCACACACACACACGCACGCACGCGCGCACACACACACACACACACACACACACACACACGCATACAACTGAGGTCCACAGTGGAATCTTGTCTCTACGCCTAGTTTCTTGTTCTACAAGCACACAATCATCAAGGGTACAGTTTCAGACCTAACTTTTAAAATGGTTTAAAGTCATATTCATGTACTCTTGGTTTTGATATGCCAACATTATTATGTTGATAGTATATATTCCTTTCCCTTGCTTCCATTCATATGCATTATGATCTGCAGGGTTGTATGACATCATTCCTGAAGGAGGAGCTTCACCCACTGACGTCATCAAGGTAGGTGATAACTGTACGAGAGAGAAAGAAAGACGGAAATAGATAAATGAGGGAGAGAGGAGAGTTACATGTATGTGAGCGATAACTTCGTATCACTATTTGCTGTTCCTTCTCTTCCAGGTCCACTGTGACATGGAACGCAGTGGTGGTGGCTGGACCAGGATCGCCTACATCAACCCTTCGCAGCAGGGCCAGTGCCCAGGCAACATGAGGTATCAAAACCATCGCACCAACCTGTGCACCAGACAAGCCAACAGCAGTGGATCGTGCAACGGCGCGTCTTTCCAGTCACCAATCGGCGAGTACAGTGAAGTGATGGGATTTGTGACCGGATATCGGGTAAGCGAAATTGAACGACCCAACAGTGAACTAAACACATGTAAAGTGATTACTGAGCGTTGTACTGAAGCTCTTAGTCAATCAGCAAAAGTCAGGAGTTAGATGAGTTAAGTAAAAAGAAAGGAAATACAAAACCGATCCCTATAGCAACGTGATCGATGTGGGTATTGAATCCTTGTACAATTGTCATATTATGATAAGTTCCGGACTGAAACAATAAGAGGACCTCTCTGTTTTTTATGTTCCGGATTAGTCTAAATGCTTCTTTCAGCTAAATGTAGATTGAAAATAAGTTTGGGTCGAATGACCACAGCTCAAAATGCGCTGCCCTATGTATTGATTTTTTTTTTATTGATTTTTATTTCACGGATCCTCCATGTATTGCTTGCACAGCCACTGTTGTACTGTTGTTTTGCTTTTGTGTCGTTGCCCCTCTTTCCGTGGGTGTGTGCATTGCATTAAAAAACGAAAAACATTGAACAAACGTTTCGGAGCAGCAGCTTTTAAAATACCGAAAATAAAGAGGACTAATTACGCTGTAAGCACTTGCTATTAGTCGCCATGCATGGGGAAAATGTGACACGATGATTCTACGGCACAGCTAGAAGGAGAAAGAAGCGAGGTAAGGGATCAGTTCTGAACAAACGCTTTGCTTCTTTCTCGTACTGTGCCGTATACTCATCGGTTCACATTAAATTTCTTCTCATGCATGGCGACAAATAGGAAGTTGTTACAGCGAGATTAGTCGTCCTTGTTGCTGCATTTAAAATAAAACAATATTTGACAATATCAACTTTCAACACGGGAATACTACTAGTGGAAAAGCTCTCATGCCCATGCAATGTTTTGAAGGATATACTGAAAAGTGCGTTGTGCTGGTGTCTGGCTTCCTGTCACCTGGCTTTGGCTACCACCATTCAATGGCTTGTCCTCCTCAAACCGCACCCCAACTCTCTCTCTCTCTTTCTTTCTCTCTCTCAGCTATCTTTCATCTGTCTTCTCTTACTCTTTTTTTCTTTGTCAGCTTTCCTGGTGGTTTTTACATGCTTTTCAAGTAAATAAAAATACATGTAGCAATGTGTTGTCATTCACGGAGTTTTGTTTTTCCTCACACTCACAGGACCATTCGACTAACGCGTTCTTCGCCCGTTTGCCTTTGGAGACGTTCTACGTAGATGGCGTATCCATCACGCAGGGCACACCAATGGAACACATATGGACGTACGCTGTCAGCGACACAGGCGCAACCCCACTCTATTCGTGTCCGTGTAGTCGCGTGCCCGGCCGGCAGTCTCCGGCCTTCGTCGGCTCGCACTATTACTGCACGGACTACGGCCGTGCCTGGCAACGCTGGACATTCTCCGATGATCATCACCTGTGGAGCAACACTGCAAGATCAGTGGTCGGTGGTAGCTGCACCGACAGCACACTACCAATGCCCTGGTTCCATAGGCAACTGACCGGGAATACTACCGCACCCGTTCAAGTCCGTATCTGCGCAGACTCGGGTACCAGCGATGAGAACGTGGGAATTGACGAAGCGGCCATATTTGTCCGGTAAACTCGGCCGATCGACCCGCCACTAAGTTTCTCTCTTTCATTCACCACACTTCATTTCTGAGTTTTAGCTCTACTTCGAAGTACATATACCGTACCATCGCTCATGTTCCATTTGTTCCTCTCAACTCTTTGCTTCTGAGCTCATTTGCGTTTCTCAATCCTACACTGTCGCCTGCCGTCACTTCGTGTGCGTTTCCAAACTGTGCATAAGATCCATGGCCATTACCAGTAGCGCAGTGTTTTCCTTTCCACTTCTCTCCAATGCCATTTGCATTCAAAAATGTGTTGTTTTCAAAAGGTACAACTGAACAAATGCTGGAACACGCGTCAGTTCTAGAAGCACAGCGCCCAGAAAATGTGAATGCACCGCACTTGGACAATCTCCCCGCTGTGTAAGGCACGATGTTTCTAAAATACACTTCATTGGTTTCTGCTACCAGCCACCATTGTCTATACATGTGCTGCTTCCAATCTAATTCACTGTTGTCACTGCACTGGTTGTTCTCAAACCATGAAACTCTGGTTAACAATACCCTACATTCCTTTGTGTGCCTCTTGTGTTACTTCAAAGTACAGCACTTCACAGTGAATAAGTATTACTCGTACGTGTAAACTCTACAGTACATGCAGCATATCTGCGTTGATTGGTACCACCATCACCGGCAGGTTTGTACTGGTGACAAGCATCTTGGGCTTCTTCAAAAATAATCACTGATGATCTTTACAAGCAGAAACTTAGTGAGTTGTTCAGGGATAGACCCAAGAGCGAGAGGTGACTATGACGTCAGATTTGGCCTACAACGAAGTACATGTACCAGTACCATAGTTATGTGTGCTAGATTTGTGTTGTGAGGAAATAATAATTACGTGACCAGTCGAATAGTACGTGCTGGACGTACGGGGTTTAGGTAGCTTATCACAATTCGGGGTAGATACTAGATACATATGAAGGTATCAGCGCTAGCTGCCGTGTGGCCCTAACAGCAAAATTTAATGTTCCTCAGGACAAATATGCTTGTGGAATCTGCTAGACTTGTATTAGTAGCCAATTGCCCTCCCAGACCCTTGTTCAGGTATGGGCTCGACTCCTTTAAGGAGACATTACATGATAACATCCTTGTTGTGGGAACGTTGTTGAGCTCTTCAAAACATGTTTTTTGATTGGTGCAGCACCATCAACCCAGATTTTTGCCACAGTTCCTCAAACTGATCGTGTCATTCCTTGAGGAATTTGAACTGGACCTCTAGCTATCATCGTACTGGCTGTCGACATCACAGACTACAGAGCAATTCTCGGCTGGTATCATCACAATTGACTGGTCGGCTTCATTCCAATCAGCAATTCAGCTCGTTTCCCTCTCAGACATCACACCACCAACCAACCTTGTTGATTGCAGCCACCCTTGCTGATGTGCCCCACATCTACCCACTGCAACCACCATTGCTGATGTGCCCCACATCTACCCACTGCAACTACCCTTGTTGATGGGCCCCACATCTACCCACCATCAACCACTGACGACAACCAGTCCAAGTCATGTACATGTATGCACATAATTATGACTGGCCACGATTGTGAACGAGACTTCCTGAACAAATCAAGACCTCCTTCAAGGCTGTGTTACTTGAGCGTTCTGGTGACTAGGGCTGGCCACCTGTGAATACGAACTCATCTAAGAACCAGTTTTGAAATGGCACGTTTTTTTCAGGGCTAGTACGCGAACCAGTATGGCGTGTGTAGATCTTGGCACTATCAGCATACCCAACACAATGATCAGTGTAGTCTCGTTGCAGTCCGTCCCAGCCTTAGGCCGCAGTCAGGAGCGATAATATTACTGGTATGGGTGATGACACATTCACGAACTTCCACATCACGGGCCAGTGCCCCAGTTGCTATTAACGTTTATAAGTGTCTTCGATACAAAAGCGACTTAGTTTTCTACCTACTTGCTCAGAACCTCTTTGCCTGCTTTGAACCTTCTTAGGCTGCAACCACACTACGTACAAAATCAAGTACGCGTTTGCGTTCAGCTTTTAGATAACGCAAAGTCGCATCCACACTGCCATTTCATGCGCAAGGAATCCTTGCGTTTTGTCTACATTTCTGGGTCCCAGAAAAATCGCGCTGTGAAAATGTATGTACATGTACATGACTGTACTACCTGTAGTACCAAAGGTAGTACTCAGTAGTTTGAAAAAGAGTCGCGAGCGCCTTGACATACACGTTCACATGGTTCAAGGCCTCAGTCATCTCCTTCTCTCGGATGCATCGATGGTCCGCTCCAGGCTGTGATCTGGCCCTGCTTCGTCTTCTGGTACGCTGCCCCAAGCTGCATGAGCTTCTCAGTTGGAGATTATCAGCGAAATACAATGTACATTGTAGTTGCGCGGCATCTCGAACTAACAACAGCAGGCAACAGGACTGTCCGGAAATTATACTGAAAGCAAAGCCCTGGCAGATGAAATCTCAAATACAACAAACTGACAAGGAAGCCGTCTACTACCGATACAGTGCAAGCCTCAACAAGAATTCTAAGAAACATCTAACCGGCCGTGTGAAGAACCGAGCGAAACGCAAGGAAAAGGCGAAAAGTTGCTTTCTACAGGGGTACCCGGTTTGCTGAAACGAAACGCAGTACGTTTTGCGTTTCGCACGCGTTTCCTTGACGACATAAGCAGAAAAGTTGCGTTTACGCAGTTTTGTACCTAGTGTGGTTGCAGCCTAAGGCGTAGAACAATTCAGTGACAGAAACGTCCACAAATCGTGCGTGGAAGATGAGAGTAAGTGTCCATCGGATTATGGTGGGGATGGCTACCATTGTGGTGATGGCAATGTCTGGGAGCGCGGGACAGACTCCTGGGACGCCTGACTTGAATGAAAATACACCATCCGATCTAACTGCTAATGGTGAGTCTTACAGCTCGGGGTGAGAATAACAAGGATGCAGTTTACAGGGTTATGGGTCGTTACACGCCCGATCGGTTGAGAGACTAACCTCCTCTCCCCTGACTCACTTGTGAGGTCTGCATTCGCCACTAAGGTTAACAGGCATAGTGGTGGCCTGCGGATGCGAAGGCTAGTTTGTGTGTTTCTGAACATTCAAGCGATGCCGACGCGGATCCCGCAAATATTATTATTAAGTCTTACAGCGGAATACCTATCCTCCCTTCTCTACACGATTAGGGTCAGCATATACAAAATACTATCCAGATGCATTGTTACCGACATTATTGTGCTCAGTTGGGGGTAAACCTAGAGCAGGAAGTGTAGTTTCGAACTGTAAATGATCGATACTGGCAGATTCTAATCCGTCCTCTGTTGATCCTGTGTATCTCAGATACGGCCACCTGCATGACGCAATGGTTGCGTCATTCATTCCCTGATGAAGCTGATGAGTCACGAACGCGATACGAGCGTCTACTGAGGGAATTTTCTCCACCTGTTGATCAGCTGACACTGTCTAAAGCTAGTCCGCTGCTGCTGGCTCTTGTATTCGGCGGAGCGGGAATGTCGTCCAAATTTTCCAGATGCTCAGGTACAAGGTACACGTCTCAGAGTGTTTTCTAATATTTTATCCGATTCCCCAGGCTGTAGACTCTTCGAATTTTGAAGCAAGAAGATTCTCTAAAACCGTTATTGTTTATGCAGATGGTCAGTGTCAGCATCCGTCTTCATGCCAACATGGCGGAACATGTGTGTACGCTAGTGTTGATGGTAACACTCCTCAGCTGAAGCAGTACAAGTGTCAATGTAGACCTGGATATGCCGGGCGACAGTGTGAAAAGGGTAAGCCTAAATGTGTGGTAGCGTTCTAACAAAATCACTCATTTTGTTTTGGGGTAAACGAGGTCACACCATTATAGAGGACTGGCACGAATTCAAATGCTACTGTTGTGCCCAGCAAGCACCCCGTCCAAAGTACACTGAAAGCAGTATGCATCCGTATGCATTTGCAATACAATAATAATTATGCCGTGACTCCATGCAAGGACAAGATGCTGGAAGTGACTGTCTCTGTTTCACTGTCTGTTGGTACACTGGCAGCATACTGTACATGAAATGTACTGTACATGTAGCTGAAGCGTGCCGAATGCAAGGACCACATGTGCATGCCTCATAATACGGAGGATTAGCAAGACGAAATTCGCGTTCGCGTTCGCTCTCCAAGGAAAGTCGAACTCAGTGACGAAATTCGCGTGATGAGAAGGATTAGAAAACAGAATTCGCACATGCATGACGTTGACACGACGTACATTGTGTACAGACAGTACAGCGTGGTAAATGTATGACTGCCCTGACACGAATCCGCGATTCGTGTTCCGACTACTTTTCCAAACGAAAAATGCGAAAGTTCGCAATCCAGTTCGCGAACTGAAAAATGTTTGCGAACGCGAACGCGAATTTCGTCTTGCTAATCCTCCGTAGTATTATGCACTTGCAGGTGTAGTGTATTGAACTGCCAGCCGAACCTTAAAACTCCGAGGAAGCAAAAAAGCTATGGACTCCAAAGGGTTAAATAGTACTCAAGAAGACGTGATGATTTCATAGACGAAAGTTTGACTCGAGTTCACTCGAGTACTCAAACGGCTTGCTATCGAGCACAGTATAGGGAATGCACAAGGTGAACGATCTTTCTGAACAATCTCTCTCCTTTGTTGTCTTGCTCCATGCTCCATTCACTCTTGCACTCTCTCTGACTCCTATTTCACTAATTCCCCCCCCCCACACACACACACACATTCTCTTTGAGATGCCCACGTGCACACACACACACACACACACACACACATACACACACACGCACACACACACACACACACACACACACACACAAACACACACACACAAACTCACGTACGCGCACCCGCACACCATGTACCATGCACGCACGCACGCACACACGCACACACCCACACACACACACTCTCTCTCACTCTTATCCTACTTCTCTGGTGTTACCACAATTGTGTGTGCATATGGCTGTACTGGTTATATATTATGTGTGTGCTCGCTCGTTCCTCTTTTCTTTTGTTCATTTGGCTTATGCGAAGGCTAGCCAAGCGTGTTAGGTGATGTTAACAAGGAACAAGCAATAATAGTAATAATAATTATGGCTGTACTAAATTCTGTCTTTCTTACAGTCGTATCAGCCTGCATCACACGGCGGCCATGCAAGCACGGAGCACGTTGCGAGCGGATCGGATCACACCGCTTTGTATGCCATTGCCCACCATTCTACTATGGAAAACAATGCCAGCATAGTAAGAATCGCACAATTAATTATTTCTCGGATTCAATGATTAATATTGCGTGCTATCTGGAGGGGAATGCTGGCAAGAAAGAAAATCACATGTCTTTGCGCTCAATCCGCCTAGCACACCACAGAAGAATGCAGAGTAGCATAGCCAGTGGCTGGCAATGGCGAAAAAATGATTACTGGCATGAAAAAGAAACTCAAACAAATTTTGACACATTATTATTATACACTAGTGGAGGGATTCTAACAATAATAATCATTATTAATTAGTGATAGACTATCTCTGACCATAAGCTAGGGTCCCTGGTTTGATTCCTGATGGTGACAGTCAGTTATTTCATTCAGGCTTTCCCCTTCAGCTGTTGTGATGTACTACAGAAATACTGCACAGCGGTATGGTCTACACTGAAAGACAACCTGCGAATGTAGTAGCACAGTATGTGATAGTCATGTGATGGATTGTGCACCCCCTCCACCACACACTTACACGCTCTCAAATAGACCAATGTTCATACACCATCTGAGTTATTCATACACAATGGCACGTATTCACTGAAGGCGTACGTGACTAGCGCTGCGGGGAAACAAGTAGGTTTTCTCATTTGCGTACATAGTAAATTCGCACTTTATTACTCTTGACTTGTTGAGCCGTCTCGAACGTTGCATTCCGCAAATTCCACTTCGTTGGGTCACTACTATTGTATACCTTGAAGACCAGTACTAGTCTATATCGAAAGAAACTCACAAGTTCCAGCGATTAGAGAAACTTCTTTTCCACGCATTTGTATACAGTTGTATGCGGAATCGAACAAGTGTCCCCACAGCGTGGCTCACGTGCGCCCATACCATGTATGCAGCGTGGGCGTCCGCCATTTTAGATGAAGACGTGCCATTCTTACACATAGTCATTAGCGCACAGGACATAAGAACATTCTCATGCACAAACGTTAATGCAAACCAACACACAGCTGACATTAATAAAACAAAACATTAATATGAAATGGTTTGCTCCCCACACCGGAGCTCGCGCTATTCCGCCGACTTTACTTGACACTTGACTGACTCACGACTGCCATCCAGAGCACACGAGAAGTCCATCGAACCTTCGACTCGGCAAACCTGCAAGAAAGCACCACTCCCTGCTCAATACACAGTGTTTCGGGGAATTCACCCCTCATCAGTTGAGCTTGAGTAGGCTGAGGAAGATTGTGCCTGAAGAGCACCACTTATATAGTGCTCTCCAGGCACAAACATCACCAGGGATACAAACTTACAGAGACGCTCCGTTTCAAGCGCGACAAACACCTCGTGAACACCAGATAGCAGCGTGAGTCAGTGTCGCTCCTGGACGGTGAGACAGACGTCGAGGACCCTCGGTCCTGGACTGGATGGCAGTCGTGAGTCAGTCAAGTGTCAAGTAAAGTCGGCGGAATAGCGCGAGCTCCGGTGTGGGGAGCAAACCATTTCTTACAAATCATCGCCGAAGTCGCAACCACTAAAACATTAATATGTATCTTTTATTGCTTGCAGGATTTGGAATAGAGGAACTCGGAAACATGACATCATCATTGGCCAAGATAAGTCATCGGCTACGCGCTGTTGAGACGAAATCAGCACAGGCTTCGCAGAGAAATGCCAACACCATAACCAGCTTCCTGCAGCGTCTCGAAGCTCACCTTAATAAATTTCAGTCCGAGCAACAGGCTGCACAAGGCGATCTGAACAAAACACTTACAACTCATGTGCAAAAGCTTTCCGATCTAACAGCCAAGGACCGCACCTTGGAAGCAATGTTCACGTCCAAACTCGGTCAACAAGAAACAAAGATAACAGGTCTAGCTACAGGGCAGCTAACGATGCAGAGTCAGCTAAACCAAAGAATGGACAATGGCCTTGCCTCTCAACGACAGCAACAAACTGCACTGATGAACAGTCGTCATTCTCAACTGGAAAGTCGAATGGATCAAAATATGAATACCCGGCTTGAACAACTCAAAACTGAACTAAATCAAAGAATGGATGACAAAGACTCGCACCTACAGGCGCAGGTAGTTCTGAGCCTTATTTCCAAAATTATGTATGACTGGACTGCAGAGTTGCTATGTTGCAGCACTGGGATGATCTCATAATCTAACAGTGCTACTTCAAAGTACAAATCTCACGTCATTCATCAGGTAATATTTATAAGGACTAGCACTTTTCCAATCCCTCTACTAGTGAATACTAAGAGAGTACGTTAACAAAAATAAGGTTTACACCCGATGAAGAGGCAATCGTTTCCAGTCTTCAGATATTGGCCATTGTTGTAACACTATTTTAAATTGGTGAGTAGACGGGCATTCGAAATCCTTAGCATTTAGCATTTGTCCGTCAAAGTTTTATTATCAGTGTAGAAATGGACTCGGATGGAGAGCCAAGGATAATTTATAAGGAAGAAAAAGGACCAGGGAACTACAAGTTACGCTATAATGTCCACTAACGCCACCAGTTATCGCAATGTTATCGCATGAGCTGATTGTTTAGTAAATGGTGGTGTTAGTGGACATTATAGCGTAACTTGTAGTTCCTTGGTCCTTTTTTCTTTCTTATCAGGGTCGAGGTGGAAATTTGTAGCTATAGATATTGGTCTGTCACTGCCATTTCTTCTGTCTTTTCCTGCAACGGATAGTTTACCATTCGTATGCCACGGAGATCGTGCAGAGAAATCCAGTCGATGTCGAGTGAGAAGATGCCATCAGGTATGTAAATGTATAGCTGTATAAGTGCAGTCACTTGAAGTGAATTCATTCAGGGCCGAGAGATGCCTAAGGAATGTGCTTTATTCGTCTCTTGGCAACATGTGATACGGAACATCTTTCCTTCAAGTAGATCGAGGAGAAGACATTTGAGTCGACATCTTCAAGGTTGGCGGAAGTGCGCCACATGACAAGTGTTTCTTTTTCTCACACTCGGCTTCCTTCATTTCAAGTATACCCTTGTGCACCAGTTAGGAAACGGCTATACGATGCATTTTCTCTTGCAAATTACCTGGGTGGGCATCCAAGAATACGAACAAGGTTACACACCCCAGAGCAGCAAAGCAACGTTGCCACAGTGGGAAAGCGATCACATTAATTTAGCTGTAGGTATTGCTCTTAGTCCCCAATGCAAGGACTCCAACCGACTCCTCTGCATTCTTGACAACCACTTAGGGTACGTGCACGTGCAAATGTACATACATGTACATTGAGTACATGTACATGTACATGGCCGTCGCAATTTATCAGCTACAGCTCGGAGAACTTTCTTCTTGTCAATTATACAGTCTACTCTAGAATATGCAAGTAATGCGTATGTGCACTGTTTGAAAACTACCCTATATAACAGGCTTGTAACGGTCAGCCATATTGCGATGAAGAAGGCATTTGGTTTAGATAGAATGACCCCAACTGCATTAGTTTTACAACGGTGTCATCTGTATTCGTTTGAGCAACGAGTTAATTTGAAACTATACGTTTTGGTCTATCGCTGCTTGTCATCAATTACTAGCCCCCTCCTTCAGTCACTGTTTCTCCTGCGTTCAGTTGGCCCGCACACAAATGCTCGTACTCGTGGCCAGGATACAGCTGCCTTAGTATTACCTACTGTACATATTGGGTATGGACTGCGCTCAGTTTCTTTTCTGGCGGCAGGTCGGTGGAACACTCTTCCTCCAAACTGTCGTCAGGCACAATCTGCTGGTACTTTTGCTCACCTCACAAAGATTCACCTAGGGTTCCCTGTAACAAGGCCATGCCTGTTGGGACTCCCCTAGTCAAATAATAAATACTACTACTACTACTACTACATGTACATTTCAATACACCCCAGAGCTACGAAAAGTGGACGTTATTTACCGCGAACAGTCTTCGAGGGAGACCATAATTTAATTAATGCTATGAATAGAATGAAGGACGCAGGCATCACAATGTTTAAAGTAAGCACTCTGCTATGTAAGTTTGCCTCCTTGTTTGCTAGCCAGACAATTTTTAGCAGCCTTTACGTGTCTGTAGTATAGAACTAGTTGATAACTACCAGTAACTAGTCTTTATCTTAGTTCTTTCATTGTTTACAATCAGTTCCGTAAATGTCACTCATGATTGCAACAGAAAATCGATCCTGGATTATATACCGTATTTTCCGGGGTATAAGCCGCACCGGGGTATAAGCCGCACCCCCCTTTTTGAAGCAAAATATTGACTAAAAGTTGGTATTCGGAGTATAAGCCGCACCCACAAACCAAAATGTTTCACACTCATTGACAAATGGCCTTTCTACAAATTTATTATGGTTATGGAGCTAAATACAGTCGTCCCTCTCTAATCCGGCACTTTATAATCCAGCACCCTCGATAAACCAGCACAATTTTCAGTAGCCAAAATGTCCTCTTCATGCACATTGCAGCAGTAAATCAGATTTGTTAATCCAGCACCCTCCCTAATCCAGCAGATTTTCGTGGCATAAATGGTGCCGGATTATAGAGGGACCACTGTACCATGTTAGATCAGAAATAATGATTATGAAGTGTTAGTGCACCACAGGTTGCTGCAGAGGTGTTGGTGTATTGCTGGGTTGACTACAGATCACTCCATGTCATCTGCACTATCTTCAGTCTGGATGCCACTGATGCAGTAAAAGTGCCGGGATAGCAACACAGGCGCGAAGCTGAGTCGAATGACATGTCACATGACGTCAGCATGCATACTGATGTATGCTAGCATTCATTCGCGCAAGCATATTCGGTGTATAAGCCGCAGGGGCGATTTTGGTCCGATTTTTAGCGAAAAAAAGTGCGGCTTATACCCCGGAAAATACGGTACATACATTCGAACAAATACCTTAGATGCTTGCCACCCTCCCCACATCACACTCTTGTGTTAGACAAAAAAATTAGGGACCGAGTAGATTCATTTTCAGTTCACTTTTACCAGTCTCACGGATGCAGTGGAAAAGTCTAATGTCTTGTGTTTTGTTCCACAGGTTACTATGACCTACTAACGGATCAGGGAACTGAGATTGAAGTTCGCAAGGTACGTGTTCTGTGTGGTGGTGGTGGCTATGATTATGCGGGTGAGATGTGGTATCTCTCAGACTGCATTCCGGGTTCTTGTCTTCTCTGATTTTGCTGTGAACCTTCAGGTTTACTGTGATATGGATCACTACGGTGGTGGTTGGACAAGAATTGCCTACATCAACCCCACGCAGCAGGACAGTTGTCCTGGTAACATGTCATTGCAAAACCTTCAAGTCAAGCTGTGCACTAGACAAGCCAGCACTGGTGCTGCATGCCATGGTGCAACATTCCAGTCACCCATTGGACCATACCGTGAAGTGATGGGATTTGTAACTGGGTACCGGGTGAGTGAATGACTCAATTTTAATTCGTTGTGCAGAACCTCTTTTACAGAATATAATCGGTGCGAACTGACCTGGCTCATAGACTACCGGTATCAAGAAGAGGCCGGTAGTGAAACGCGAACATGAATTAATATGATGTACAAATCCTACAAAGGGAACACAACAGATCGCGATCAAACTGGCTATTTCAGTAGACATGGTTAGCATTTTACCGTTCACGCTATTTTCGACGGTCGGCTGGTACCGTTTTTGTGTGTGTGTAGACATGGCATTTTACCGTCAACGGTAGATCCAACGGTCCTCGTAGCCAACACCTAAAATTCCGTCGGTTTGGTACCGTTTCGACGATAGAAAGTTCTGTTTAGCGGGAGAACGAAACGGTAAGATTCCAACTAGGGTTACGTCACAAGTCGATCGTTGCATCAGGAGTCAGCACTCAGAAGCCGCACTGCTAACCATGTCTCGAAAACACAAAAAAAACAGTAGACTCGCCCTCTACTGATCTACACGCAGACCGTCGATAATATCGTGCGCAGTAAAGTGCTGACCATGTCTAGTAACTCAGAATGCCAGTTTCTTACATGACACGTGGCCGTTGCCGGGGCCATGGCCAATAGGCGATCTTCCCGCAGCGGGCATAATCAGGCCATCAGGACCGTTTGACGTGATTTCGGGAGTTTCAGGACCGTTTGACGTCATTTCGGGAATGTTCGGACCGTTTGACGTCATTTCGAGAATAATTTTTCGACCTTCGACCTTTCCACCTTTGACCTTCCCTAATAATTATGTTCCTTCGCGCTGTAAGAAATCAAATCAAGCACGCTCTGTCTGTCATGATGGCTGAATCATGCCCTTGCCTGCAGCCCTCGGGCCTACGGCCCTTGGGCTGCAGGCTCAGGCAAGATTCAGCCATCATGACCACCTGAGCGTGCTTGATTACTCTTTAGCCCACTAGACCCTCCTGCACACAACCATCACCACTGCGAGGACACTTCCGCAGACGATATTGATAATTCCTTCAGACAGCTGTTTCGCTAATACATAGCTCATCAGTGAAGATAGAATTATTCTGATGTTGAATGATTAAAGATATAGACCAAACTGCTATTATAATTGTAGGGTTTTCCACATACAAAACTGGCATAGGTGATGTGATAACGCAGGAAAAGGAAAGTGTGAAGTACTGTTGACGCGCATGGGACATGCATGCAGCGTCAAAAATGTGGCGCGGAAAATCACTGTGATTATATACCGGAATTGTCCTCGCTGTGGTGATGGTGATGTGAGTGCAGAGTTTGGATCGGCCAAGAGCGCAATGTGGTGGTGTGGTGTATTGCATACTATGACTATCAATGCAGAAATAATGAGCCAGAATCAGTGTGCTGTGTAGCTAGTGAGAGTCTGTGTTCTAGTATTGTACTTCTCCGAGCACCATTAGGGCCTGAAAACTCACCTAACGACCCGCCGACGTCGACAGCCACAGCAGCTGTTGGGGCATAACACTGCACTGCTCGCCCGTCACGCTAAGAGGCTTGGCAGTTACTAGGCTTCATGCCACCAATACTGTCCGCAAGCGACCTGGTCGTCAGGTGCCCATCACCCACTGTCGTTGACGGGCTGGGAGGCCTTGTGGCATTCGCCCAGTATATCGTCGTCAGAGCCGTGTCGGCGGTACAAAAGCGCTGGTAGAAACAGTTGGTCATCTGGTGTTGCGTCTTCCGGATTGCCCCTTGACTCGTCTTGTCCCTCTTCTTGCTCTGGCGCTAACGGCGGACGTATCATATTATTCCAGGGTGCGACAGAGCTCTCGGCCATTGAAGAAAATGTCGAGTCACCTCTACCATTACACCGCGCTCTTTAGCCGACTAGACCCTCCTGCACACAACCATCATCACTGCGAGGACACTTCCGTAGACGATATTGATAATTCCTTCAGACAACTGTTTCGCTAATATATAGCTCATCAGTGAAGGTAGATGTTGAATGGTTAAAGATATAGACTAAACTGCTACATTGTATTATAATAGGGTTTTCCACGTACATGTAATCTATATTTTAACACTTTAATCGGTTTCTCTTTCGTCCGCATTTGATTTTCCGCTGGGGAATGGGAGTTGATCTGCATGCGTACTTGACGGCATATAGGCCACTTTGAGATGGCGATAATTGTCGGCGAACGTATTTTATCAAGTACAAGAAGAAGTAAGCTGCTTGTTTCGGGATTTCCTTGTGCAGCTTGAGAGTCTGTAATGGCCTCGCGCACGCAGACTTAGCAATACCCAAGTCGTGTCAGGAAGAAATTGCTGAATAATAATAATAATAATAATAATTATTATTATTATTTCAAATGGTGAACGGTACTCTTCGGCCAATAAAATGTAAAGAACTCTTCCTCTCCTCCATGCGCTCTCACAGCCGACTTACTGCTACCCTCAGTAGCCATTACACACACCAACCAAGGAAGGGTTGCAGGTAGATAGTTGCAGGTAGATCTACATGTAACTACAGTCCATTCATGCGTGTGTGCACTCTTTGTAACTTTTGCTGCACTGCACGCTTAGTACTCTACTTTCTTTCACTTTGTTTGGTGGCTCGCCAAAATTCTTAAACTATCACCTTGCCGTTAGAAAATTAATGTTAGCAGCTTGTGATTGGATTTCTCACCTGCCATTTTCTTGGAACCCCTGGCACTGTGTTGCTGGAGAGGTTAGCAGCTTGTGATTGGATTACTCACCTGCCATTTTCTTGGAACCCCTGGCACTGCGTTGCTGGAGAATTGTAACTTCTCATTCTCACACTTTGCCCGTAATCTTGCGCCCATGTTTTGTAGTATAAATCTGACCATCTCCACATGATATCATCCTATTCAATATCACCTTCTCTGATGAGCCTTATGAAGGCGAAACAGCTGTCAGGAGGAATTTCAGTATCTACCTGCAACCCTTCCTTGGTTGGTGTGTGTAATGGCTACTGAGGGTAGCAGTAAGTCGGCTGTGAGAGCGCATGGAGGAGAGGAAGAGTTCTTTAAATAATAATAATAATAATAATAATAATAGTTACAGTTCGCATGTCACTCATGGAAGGATCCATGGGCTTAACGCATCTGTCAACGAAATCCAGGCAGAAGAGCCGACAAAAGGCATCTCATTATTGTTAGAACGTATCGCAGTAAGAACAACTACGCAAGCGCAGCACATTTTTCCACAAGCATCAGCCATTCTTTCTTGTCTAGAGCCAGTTCAAAACAGTCAGAAATATCAATATTGGCGTGCTTTAGATCATTTTTAATATTGTCAATCCATCTGAGATGGGGTCGGCCACGTGGGCGCTTGATGTCCCGGGTATTAATTGCCATCTCCAGTGCTTGGTAGGACGCTGAGTTGGCATTCGACATGCGGTGAGGGTACACCACACCAAGCAGGTACCGCAATTTTCTGCGGTGCCATGCGTCCAGCCTAGGCCTTGACGGATTATGCTAGCATAATTTTTCGCATAATTCCTACCAAAATCGAATAATCGCATAATTCGAGGCAAATTGCATACGAATCGCATAAAATTGTAATAATCCGCCTGTTCGCATCAAATTCCATACAGTTGTACATGTTCTACAACTTAGTACAAGACAAGTACAAGTAGATGCACTAGGAAGTTGTAGGTTTACGACTCCCTTGATAACATGTCCAGTCCACTACAATCAGTGATGGTCGTAGCTAGGTCGGACGGTGTGTTGATCCCGTTGAACTTTTGCTACTACAGTACAACGCCCTCTACAAAAAAATCCCCTGTTATTTTGCACAGAACCATTATGCATTAGCAGCATATGTGAGCATAATGCGGCATAATATGAGAACCTTTAGCATAAAAATAGCATAATTCTGCAATTTTTTCAGCAATGCGAAAAGCATAACTTCACGAAAATATTAGCATAATCCGTCAAGGCCTAGTCCAGCCGATTACTGAGTTGCTGTGTCAGGGCCCACAGTCCGCAGTTATACAACAGGATAGGCAAAATGAGGGCAGAGAACATACAAAGTCTGGAGCTCAGTTTATGACGCTTCCACGAAATGGAGCCGAACGCTCTATTCGCAGCACCTATTCTTGCCTGAATATCCTCTGAGGACCCTAACAAAGAGCCAAGCAGCTTGACAGATCGCCAAGAGGAGTCGGCTTTAGTACTGTAATATATTGTGTTTTCTGAATATTTAACATTAGGTTATCTTCTTTGAATTTTTCACTTGACTTCTCCACAATCTCCTCGACTTCTCGCCTCTCCGTGTCATGGATTGTTGTGTCGTCTGCATATTGGGTGGTTGGTGCTGGTAAAGATAAGTGCGATAGGATAGGATCAAGGTGGCGCATGGCTCCCTCAGCATACACATTGTACATGATGGGAGAGAGCGGGTCCCCCTGCACTACTCCGATATTTGTAGCAAACGCTTTGCCTAAATGAGAACTGAGTTTCACTCTCACCGTCGTGTCCGAGATCAGAGTGGCAACGACATCAGTGGCAGCTCCAGAGTCTGAAAATCGCGCCAACGCCTTCTCACGGACAATGGTATCAAATGCTCCGCTGAAGTCTAATAGTGCGGCAGAGTATTTCCAGTCACCGAGTAGTGCACGTTCGCACATGACACGCGTATAGAAAACTCCGTCAGCCGTGGAGCGTCCGGGTGTAAAGCCTGCCTGACTTTCACGTACATATGATGTGGTAGATTGTTGTGAACGCATGGTGATGATGCGGGTCAGCACCTTGCGAACAACTGATAGCAGCATGACCGGTCTGTAACTTTTCGGTGCACCCATAGGTTTTCCTCTTTGTATACTGGCACCAGAAGGCCACATCTAAGGTCAGGTGGGCAATAGTGGAGTTCCTTAATGGAGTTGAATAGGGTAGTCAGCCATGGAGTAATGACAGTCGAAGCCGTACGTAGCAGTGCCGCACTGATCCCATCACATCCAACAGCGCCTCCGATTTTCTGGTACATGATGGCCTTCCTAATCTCTTCAGAGGTAAATGGTTCGTCTTCTGCCTTACTGTTAGGTTGTGCCGGGGAAAGCGTTGGCTGGTCGCTCCGGTAAAACACTGATGCGAAATACTTGCTGAATTCCTCCAAATTCCAATTTACATTTGTGACATTTTCACCACTATCATTTGCGAGTCGTACTGGGGAAGGTTTGTCAGGATTTCGAAGTGCTTTTAGCTGTTTGATGGCATTGAAGTATGATCTTGCATCCGGGCGTAATGCGTCCACTGCCTCCGCTTTGTGCTGCCAATATAAGTCACCTTCGTTTCTGAGTAATGCTCGGATACGGTGAAGGATCTTGTTTCTACTTTGTGTTAGTTCTTTCCGCTTGTTCGGATCTTTTTCCATATGTATCCGGCTGGAAATTCAGCCCAGCCACACATGCATGGAGCAACACCAGTCAATGTACTGCTGGCGGGACTTGTTGTGACAACACCGATATGCCATGGTTTCATCGTCGACTCGACACTAGTACCTCTGAACAAGTACAAATACGCATTTGCAGTGATGAAGCCACATTTTGGGAGGATACAGGCATTGATGAAGCTGCAGTATTCGTACGATAACGCCACCCAACAGTGTACCTTGCTAAGTGTGAGGAATGCAATCGCCACATCTTGCTGACTAATAGTATAGTATTCTCCATGTACATGACTGTACTCTCCGTTGATTGTATTCTTTCCATCAATCACGTCATAGAATGCTACAGATACTGGTACAATAAAACTGTTAGGAAGTTGGTTGCTCCAACGAGGAGCACACGCTTCTTGCCGAACTTGACACTTGACTGACTCACGACTGCCATCCGGAGCACACGAGGAGCACGTCGCACCTTCCGCTCGGCAAACCTGAAAGAAAGCACCACTCCCTGCTCAATACACAGTGTTTCGGGGAATTCACCCCTCATCAGTTGAACTTGAGTAGGCTGAGGACGATTGTGCCTGAAAAGCACCACTTATATACTGCTCTCCAGGCCAAACCATCACCAGGGATACAAACTTACAGAGACGCTTTGTTTCCAGCGCGACAAACACCGAAGTCGCAACTTCTAAGTTAATAAAACTGTTATTATTCTTATTCTTATCTTTACATGAGGGATGACCCAGAGGCGGATAGCCTATCGAGGGGTTCTCCACATGTGCGATATTGAATAGGTAGCAAAACAGGGGGCGGGGGGGGGGGGGGGGATGGAATGAATAAGCCAGACACATGAATATAGAAACATACCCCATGGCCATGTGCGGGAAATTGTTCTTTGAAAACATCTGAAGGTCTTTTCCCAGCATGCATATAGTAGGAAGCAATACAGCCATGCTCTACACCATGACTGCACTTTGTTAATTATTTAAAGCAAGAGTTAATGTCCAGTATGAATTTAAATGATTTTCAGAGCACATACCCTTTTTATGGTCTTGAAATATATAAAACGTATAATGAGTTCAGCACACAAAGCACAGAAGCCATATAGATACTCGGCGATACTCCGTCACCTGACATGGCCACCGGCCTGCCTAATCGCGGTCTGCAAACATGGCACCCATTCTCACTTCACAATTCAACAAATCTCACCTTGCTGTACTGGAGGCAGATTACATTTCCAAGCTGAACCCTGAACTGTGTGTGCAGAAGAAGTATGTGCAAAAGTTGTCACTGTTTTGACATGTAGTACCATAGTCCCCACTGTTGTTTGGTACTACACGTAGTAATATTCATTATTTAACTGTCTAGTTGGTGCCACTAGTGCTACCTTTCAAAGTGCTATGTATTCAATGCTTTGACCGCCAAATATGTAGTTGGTGCCACTAGCCCTATCTCTTTTTATAGTGCTATTTTGTCAAAGCTCTGACCGCCAAAGTGCCGTTTATAAGGACTTGCTTGCTACCTTGTTAAATTGTATTCGACTTGAAAAGTAATTGTACGAAAGGCCTAGTCGAAACTATATTCTCCTCATTGGAACTTTCCGCACCTGAGCCTTCCAAGGAGATGTGTGGGAGCTAGGTGTCAGGTCGTAGAATGGCTGAATATCCTTGTCAGTTTTGTGCCTTTTTGTTTCACTATCTGATTGTGTATTATCTCGTTACCTTGGTGGATTGTTGGTCATAACTCGTTACTCACTAGTCCTTTCTCTTTACTTATATTATTGGCTCATTACCCGAGTTTTAGAAAGGTAAGAAGCAGCAAATAGGAAAATGCTCTTCACGGCTCGAGGCCTGGAGTAGTCAAAGCATACTCCATACACTCGAGATCCGGGAAAGGTGAGCCGAACATGTGCGTTCCGAGTAATCCTGTTCTAATTCTGTACTAAACGAATACGTCCCTAGTCCAGGACGGTAGTTTTTTGGTCGGATTTCAGTGAGAGGTGGATGTATGATCGTCTATGTTCTGTTTTTTTTTTGTTGATTTCAGGATAAAGCCATGGACACATTCTATGCGGGAAATTCTCATAATGTTCCATTGAATAACTGGTACGTGGATGGTGTCTCCATCACACATGGTTCTCCTATGCGTCACTTATGGACATACACAGCTGGTTTTAACGATTATGGCGCCATATTTCACTGTCCATGCAGTCCCCGGCCCGGTGCACAACCTCCATCCTTTGTTGGTAGCCACTACTATTGCGCTGACCATGGAACTGCCTTTAGACGTTGGACATTCACTCCAGCCACACATGCATGGAGCAACACCAGTCAATGTACTGCTGGTGGTACATGTTGTGACAACACCGATATGCCATGGTTTCATCGTCAACTCGACACTAGTAGCTCTGATGAAGTTCAAATACGCATTTGCACAGATCAGGTCATCACCGAAGAAAATGTTGGCATTGATGAAGCCGCTATCTATGTAAAATAAATTCGTTCATTCGTTCTCGGATAAAGGTGGAATCATTGGCAGCCAATGTAGGCTGTTTTAACGGCAAATCCTCAGCAGCACTCTTTCTGTTGTCTTCTAGTGGTCACGGTTCACTTCTGCAAGTGAACAGTGTTAGTTAGATAATCCGTTCCTTCATTCACCCCACGTCATTTCTCTGTTTTTGTTCTCAATCCACCTTCTTAATACATGTACATCTCATATTGGATATTTTTATACTTCTCAAATAATCGGCGAGCAGACAAATTAAGAATGAAAATATGAGCTCGCTCATCAGAAGTCACGTCACAAGGCAACAGTCGATATAAACTGCAAACTTTCCTGATGAATGCCACACATTTGAATCATACCTTGTCACTGCTGACGAGCACATTCAATTTTTACATCTTTTTCCTTTACCTGTCTGTCTCCTCATAGCTGCTGATATCACTCGCATCACTCAATCTTTCACCGCCACCTTGTCCCTTCTTGTGCTTTGTTATCCTGTATGTGTGTAAGATCCTTGATCACCACCAGTACCACAGCATTTTCTTTCTCCACTTCTTGCCTTTATCAGCTGCGTTCAGAAACCGTGCAGAGTCTTCCGTTTTCAAAAGATGCAACAGCTGTTACACCTTCTAGAAAACACTTCGGTTCTAGAGGCACTGCCTTCAGAAGATGCCTGTCGATTACGATTTAAAAGCATTTTCCTGGGAAGTCTAGTCACCGGAATTAAGTGGCCAGCACAATTTTGAGAGATACTTGGATGATCTGGAGTTTGTAGATGAAGAGGCTTTGGGACGACGTTATCGTACTTCTTTATGTTTTGAATTGAGTGGCAAACCAGCGTTTCTGAATGAGGTTCTGATGCTTCTCAATAAGAAAGAACTACACTACTAGCATATGTACACAATGTCAAAATCACATTGCCTCCACAGTCCACATTGTTTGCAATTCCTTGCGTGGCCGCTTCGGGAGTAGGATGGTGTGTATTCTACTTTGTGCATGGCCTGATGCTGAACATTTCGTGTGAGTTGTGGTAGCTCGATAGAGTGCTCGACACACCTGGGCTGGACGTGGGGAGCAGAGCAAAAAAGGACTGTAACTCGGAGCTTTATGACAATCGTTCACCAGTATGCATCGACAGCGTTGACTGATGATCGCTTGTGCGTGAAGCACATAGATCGAGCAATGAAGTTATATTTTGACCTTCTCTCTCTCTGTGAGTCCATGAATTCCAGCGCTGCTTAGTGAAATCTGATCGAGTAGATTGAGAGAGCTGCAACTCCCGGTGTCGAAAGGTGGGCTCACGCCGCTACATGGCTACTTCTCCTTGGCTAACCCGCAAGACGAACAAAGAAGTCTAGTAAGCCGACTTACCGAAAACGAAAAGGAAAAAGAAACAGCTCAGGTTCTCACCCCTGCACCACAACCCCGCGTCTACATGTATACATCGATTTTTTTAACTACAATGTCATGGTCTACACTGTAAAGATATGACTGGACATGACAAGCGCATACTTGAACAACGCAATCGAAATTCTTTGAGAAGCGAAACAAGGTGCACTAGTACAGTAGTAGTGGACGCACTATTAAGGGGCCCTACCACACCACCCATGGCTGCTTCTGGACTTGTTTTAGGTTTGGGGCCCGCGCACGGACAGAATGGGCACGAAAATGTGAAAAAATTGTAAATGCATTCTTTCGTTTGGCTCCTGGGTGGCTCGCACACCGTGGCACTATGCCGGAAAGCCTGTCAGTGAGGCGCAATAATTTGTAAATCATGTCCTGAGGGCCAGCATAGTGGCAGGAGTGTGTGGTCAAAATGTAACTCGAATCCATTGAGAAACACCAAAGTTACGGTCAATTGAATGCCATATGAAATTTATGGGGAGGCTGCCCCCTTAATTAACGTTACTACCGATCGTGCTGCCAATCTCCAGGGCGGAGCATCAATTCCACACAAGGTCATGCATGCGTTCACACAAAAACACTGCCCTCTCACAAACACATTTACATTGTCCACACATGTAAATGCTTATCGGAGTGTTTCTTTTTAAAAACATGAAACTCGGAGGCACGAATACGATGTTGTTCGTCTCTGTTGCTCTGCCTAATGTAGTACAGTCAGTATTACCTATCGTGTTGGTCTTTGAACTCTCTACCCTTGTTGGGTTGTTGAGCACTTTTTGCAGCAAGGAACTGAGACGCTTTGTAGAATACATTATCTATCTATAATGTTGACAGTGCACTGGTACAAACTGAAGTGGATTCACATTTTGTCTCCAACATGTTTGTATTGGTGAAAATCAACATCTAAACGTGTGCTTGCATTGGTTTGAGGGAAGGATGCAAACGGAAAAAATCCTGAAGTGAAATGTAAGTGTCAACACCAGGACTCGAATCAATTGTGCTACCTGACAGATTTAGACCTCTACATGGCTAATGAAAATGGAACAAAGCAGCCTGCCACCATTGGTGTTGGGGAAGACTCTACCTGCCTCCTGCCAAGTGATGGCGCAGCCAATAAAATCCGACCAACGTGTCAAAAGCAGGGCCAAGGGTCGGCGCATGCGGTCCGGACCATTCAGGCCTCGGATCGATTTTTGGAACATGCATAACGTCATCGAAATCAAACAAGGCGCTAACATTTGACTCATGGGTTGGATTTTGGATGTGGTGCAAGCGCAAAAACCGAGGGGTGAAGCAGTTAGACAAGGCTAAAGCGAGAGTGACACTTCCACTAACAGTTGGGCTACTGTGTGGGCTTAAAATAAAAGATCATAAACCGTGGCGAGAGGAATAATGTGGTGGCGTTGACATAAATATGGGTCTATTGGTCCATACTGAGGTAGTTCGGGAGAAGAATCACCTCGGACATATTGTTGTTGCCGATGTGGGTGGGTGTTAGAGTTGCACACCGTCAAATCCACGAAGCCAATGGTAGTTACCATTGGTCTAGAATCGAGAAAGCAGTCAGGATTCTGTGACCAAAGTAGCTAGCGTAATGCTATCAACTGATGAATGCTGGCGGACTCAAGGCGATGTCATGACGGAGCAAGTAACTGCATAGAGGGATAATTGCCCTTGCCAAGTAATGAACCAATCATTTGCGAGAAGGAGAATGAGTTGAGTAAAACACTTGTTTTTGAAGTGAGCTTAAAGTGAGCTAAGCAAACATTCTTTAAGAGAGTTATTTTGCCCCGCTCACTCTTTCCTTGCACTGCGCATCTACTGATGCTGAGACTTTCACTACATTAAGAATACGGAATTTGTGAGCGTTGTCAATCCCAGAGAAGACCTAAATTGTCATAGAAGATGAGAAGAGGGTATGTGAAAGAGGTGTAACGAGTCTACGTCAAGAAAAATGCGGAAGAAAGAAAGTTAATATCTAGACGTCATGGATATAAGTGTCACAGTGTGGGGTTATTGATTTCCAGAGTATTTCCAGAGCATTCTCTGTCAGTTTTGTACAACAAGTTGGCACGATCGGACTGCATAGCACTGGATTGTGCAGACTGCAGAAGAGAAGAAGTGGATTTGGCCGCTTAACACCTTGCCAGGACATTCTATACCCGGCAGATTTGCTGTAGTATCTGGCTACGCTGGTGGACTCCTATATAAAGCTCTCACTCTTCCAGGCTGTGATCATTTCAGGCTTATATTTTTTTGGCGAATTCTTGCTTCCCTGACATCTCTGAGAGCAAACCGTGTTGTGATGAGACTTTCGCGTCCGACCATGGACTCGCTTGCTATCTTCTGCGTCATGTGGTTGGGTTCCACGACGCTGATGTCGCGAACTAATGCTCAAAATCCTGAGCGTACCAATCCGGTGACGCAGCGAATTAATGCTCAAAATCCTGTACCTGATATACCTGGTAGGTACAATTGGTTTTTGCTTTCACTGACGTCTTCAAGATGTCCGGGAACACACTGCTGTGTAATATACTTGATAGGCTCAACTGTAGATATTCATAGGATATGGCAAGTTATTATTATGAAGGCTTAGTATTATTACCTTATTATTGCAAGAAAATTCAAGATAAAGGTTTTAGCGAACGATGGCGAAGGAATCATGACATTTCCCCTGTGATCTGTACTGTGCAGAAACATGCATGACGGAGTGGCTGAGACTCGCATTTCCCAGTAAAGACTTCGCCGATTTGGGGACGTATGAAAGGGCACTGCGGGCGTTCGAGACTCCCGTGGACTCCGACTCCATTACGAGGACCAGTCCGTTCCTATTGTCTCTTGTGTTCGGTGGAGAGGAGAAGGCGAGTAACTTCTCCCAATGCACGGGTAAGTATGATTGATGCTGCACGGATAATGCGCCGGAAATCTGACGGAAAAATTCAATGAAACTCATACCATAGTCTATGAATATTCACCCATGTCTCCTGGGTGGTTACCAACAACCAGTGCATACTCGAGTGTGTTATGTGTTGTGTGTGAAAAAATGAAAATGAAAAATAGGGATCCACTGGCCAGAAAAGCCACTTCAACCAGCGGTGTGGTGTAGGCCAGGCTAAATTTGTGGCAGTCAATTCGTCAGCCTTTCAAGCTGATGAAGGGGGAGGGGGGGGGGGGGTGTTGTAAAGCACGTTGATCAAAAACAAAAGAATGCCAAGTGCTTTGGTAAAGCGCTCTGCATCCATAGCCACTACGACACGAGCTCAAGAAGTTTCCTTCCATCATGGCTGTCCGACTCCACTTTCTGCTGGTTACTGACAACGAACCTCAGTAGCCAGTGGCATTTCCCCAGCACTCTTTAAGTGAAAAATGAAAAAATGAGTGGCTGGTCCTGAATGCAACGGACTTACACTATCTCAGGTCTGTGTGCATGTTCCGCGCAATCTGAGAATTCCAGATTGCGCAGATTGCGCGCGCAATCTGGGGTGACATGAAAATATTTGTGCCACGAGACCAGGTACGGTACAAGAAATCGGGTCACAGATAGGGGCTCAGCCCCCACACGTATTCGCTGTGCTCTTCATGATTTTCAACGAAATCTACAGATTGCACTCACAGACTGCACCCCACTCGAATTCTCTGTGCTCTGCAGGTTTTGAAAGAAACCCACAGATTGCGCGAACTACACACTTGAATTTTGCACCCCACGTACATGAACTTGGGTGTGCTCCCAGAAATCTGGCGGAAGCTCATGCACGTGCCTGGTCCCTTGCGACAAATACTTCGGTGTCTCCAGAATGCGCAAGCATGCCTGCGCAATCTGCAATCTGGAATTCTCAGATTGCGCTGCGCAATCTGCAGATTGCGCAAATTCTCACATTGCGCGGAATATGCAGACTCTTACCATTACTGTAAATCAATTAATTTTCGCTGGAGATTTAATTTCACTGATTTCGCCCCTGGGTACCAACTAGGTACCGGCGGATTATGCCGGCATAATTATTGGCATAATTTGGTGGTTGAAAATTTGGAGCATAATTTGGCATCCTCTCGGAGGTAGGAGCATAACTACATGATTGTACCACAGTTCTAGTATGTAGGCGTGTGCAATGCACCTGATCAGTGCTGGTGGTGACCGGTGGTCTGCATGGTAAAGGGTTCAGAGGTCACGCAGATATAATAGTGTTTTCAATGCACCGCAGGGTAGAAATCATGGCAGTACATTACATTATGATGCATGTTACGAAGTCATGGATTTTAGCAGCCATGACTGTGCAAGCTATGGATATTGCTCTAAACAAATTGAGGTAGAGTTGTTTGGTCATGATGGAAGGAGAGGTGGAGCTACGGGAGAGATAAGCTGATTATTCGCAGGGTGAGGGTGACATCGGTTGGACGAGTATGACAATTACGAGGACAGTTGAACATGATAATTTTCGAAGGTAACTCAAACTGATTCGGCAATGAAAAAATCTCTTTACAAAAGAAGTCATCGAATGAATAGAAGAAGTAATGTTTTCTCTTTTCCATGTTGATCTCTAGGCTAGCATGCATGGACACCTTGGCATGGGGACTCAGTACTCATGTAACATGTTGTTGTACTTATGGCCACTTGCAAGTACGAAAATGGCACAATTTTCCGAACTTTGAGGGTCCATAAGTACAACAAAGTGAATATGTATCCCCGCATGCTAAAGCATAATATGAGGATCTTGCGAGCATAATACGAGTATCCATGAAAGCATAATTCCATGATTTCGCGAGCATAATCCGCCGGAGCCTAGTACCAACCGGCCAAAGTGAATCGCAGGCCAAAATTTGTCATAGAGGCAAATGATGCATTATCTCTCTCTCTCTCTCTCTCTCTCTCTCTCTTTCTCTCTCTCTCTCTCTCTCTCTCTCTCTCTCTCTCTCTCTCTCTCTCTCTCTCTCTCTCTCTCTCTCTCTCTCTCTCTCTCTCTCTCTCTCTCTCTTCTCTCTCTCTCTCTCTCTCTCTCACTCACTCACTCCTTTCTTCCCGGTTGCCGTGCTTGTGACTTTTTTCCCCTGCTGCCGTGCTCATATTAGTTATCTAACTACAGCTGTATCTTCTTCTTGGTTCTGTTTGCCCGCTTATTATTATATATTTTTCTTTTCTCTTATTATCAGTGGGACCGTTGTCATTAGTTTAGGCCTGTTTTGGAACTCCACTTTAAATAAAGCCAAACAACAACAACAACATTGAGCCATGCCTGCATGTGAGGGCAACAAATACCAATTGATTTCTTTTTTGAAAACCACAATCGGCCAAATCTAAATGACGGCCAAAAGTTTCATTTCGAGATCGGCCAAAGTTTCTCGCCGGCCAAAATTTGTTGATTTACAGTAAGTATTAATTTTTATAAGGGGCCTTAACCGGGTCGCGCGCTCTCAGCATGCTGTGTCGTAGTCCTCCTAAAAAGCTAGGCTGGTGGATCGCTTAATAAAATGAGCCCTTATGGAGCATCCAACTCGTCAGTCTACTCAAGCCTGAGTCCTGTGGAAAGCCAGTCTCATGTGTCAGTCATTGGACGTGAGCCGTGGGGTGGGGTAAGTGTAAGAGTGATGAATGAAATCCGATCTTTCCGGTGAATTCCACGGCTGGTACTGTGCAGCCCTAGACGTGTGAACACTGCGATGTGAACTGGCTCAGCGCAGTGGTGATTATAACGGTATCGGATTTTTGAGCAACACATAACAATAACTGTTATTTTGTTTGATCATCAACTGTACATTGACATCTACATGTATGTGTTGCACGTATAGATGAAGGCTGCACCCACCCAATGCCATGCAAACACGGAGGATTTTGTATCTACGCTGACGTCGCACTGGCTGGCAGTAATGGGAGCGCACAGGCGAAGGAATACCAATGTGCTTGCAACCCTGGCTATGCTGGATTGTTCTGTGACAACGGTATGTGTCCAACAATAATAGTTGACATACTCTACATGATTGTAGTGACACAAGTGCGTAATCCCATACTTCTACACACAGTGGAATATGATAATGCTCCTGCATTCAAGTGTCATAATAATTATACTGATGACAATCAGCTTGCGAACCATAACTTGTTGTCATGACGTACGTGACCTTCAAACTCGTTTGAAACATATTATGCTGAATTCCATCCGCATACATGTAGTTTGTTTCCCAACACTGCAAGTAGAACAATGAACAATGTACGTGCAGGGAGAGAGTGCAAGTATTTCTACAATCACATCCTGGTACCCTCAGGGAGAGTGGCCAGGGAAATGTGTCTGGCAATTTGGACAGACAACCGTCACTGGGGTGCTTGCGCTTGCTGTGCAAATAGTCTAGTTTGTGAACCGTGCCTTTTCGTCTTGTCGTTTAGTGCTCTCGATCTGTGCCATTGGCAATCCATGTCAGAATGGCGGGACGTGTCAGACTATTGGACAGACAGGCTATCGCTGTAGGTGCAAACAGCCATTTCGTGGTCGATACTGCCAAACGTGTAAGTCATGATATAAATGTAGTGCTGACGAATGCACGTAAGAAGCACGAATGGTTCACAAATCCTCATGGAAAGCAGAACCTACATTTTAAAACCTAGCCTTGTGAATGCTAGCACTTGAGAGACATGTAATAAAGTCCAAATACCAACCATCTTATTTTCACAAGTGACTTATACATATGCACGCACCGTGACGCGAACAGCCAAGCATACACATAAAGGATGTACACACACACACACACACACACACACACACACACACACACACACACACACACACACACACACACACACACACACACACACACACACACACACACACACACACACACACGCACACACACACACACACATGCACATCGCTGAAGTGATGATAACGAACAGCTATATTAGACATAGTAACTTGTGCTGGAATTACACCATTCAACAGCGTGCAAGGCTCATGAATTGACCGCCACTAATGTTACCACACAGCTGATTGAAGTGGCTTTTTCTGGCCAGTGAATCCCTATTTTTTATTTTTCAGTTTTCCAGTTTTTCATTCCTTATTGTGACACGCACACCAAACCACATACTCCGGCATACACTGGCTGTTGGTGACCACCCAGGAGAATGAAGGAGAAGCTAGGAGAATGAGAAAGAGAAGAAAGACGTGTGCGACCACAGTCGTCGGGAATTGAACCTGCAACCTCTCGATTGGAAATCGACTGAACATACCACTGCACCATAATTATGGGACACACACACACACACACGCACACACACACACATACACACACAGTCACACACACTCATACACGTGAAAACACACACACAAAACACACACCAACAGTTAATAATACATCTGTATATTAAAAAAGGTAATTTACATCAGCCTCTAACAGTAGAGAGCAGTCAAAGATAAGTTCACAGAATGACAAGTACACATAACTTGTATTACATTAATTGCACCATGCATGTGAAAACGGGTTACCTTGTGCAGATTGGCCACAAGAGCTGCGGTCAGCCGGATTTGAGAGTAGAGGATTTCCTCAGCTTCCAAACCAGGGAGGAGCGAACCCGCCGACCATTGCCGGTGACCATGCGCAAGCTCTGTCAATGTTCAAGGCATCGCTCAAATCCACACTGGATGAGAAGCTCGCACACATCGACGCGTTACTCGATAGCAAATTTGAGGAGCTAGACGAATTGGTAAGGAGCTTCAAGAAACGCTATGGGAAAAATACCTGTACCTGTTTTACACTCCAGAATGGGATTTACGGGCTTGAATTCGTTCCGTTTTTGGCACACATGGAGCTAATCAGCAACAAAGTTAAGCCTCGATGCCTAATTCACTGGCTGCACAAGCTCGTATGGGAAAAGGCTAAATATACATGTATAAGTATGCTTGATGCGAATCGGAAGATGCCCTGTGAGAGTTGGGGAACCTCTTGTTCCGACCACGTGACGGGAATATTAATTTAAGATGCTTCACATGGCTTCCCTTTAGTGCTTCTGTACTCCTCGCCATCCCCATCTTCCATTGTTTAGATGAGATAATATAAGCCGATCCAGGCATGAACAATATCCCTTTACATAACCCTTGGGAGCGAAAAATGGCCGAAATGCACATTTAAGCTTGCTTTGCTTTCAACGTATTAAAGATGTTTTTCAATTGCAGCTTCAATCTGTGCCTGCTATTGTCACCCTTGCCTCACCAGTAGCCTAACATCAATAAAATTGTGAATTTCAGCTAGTTTGGCTGGACTGTACACTTCGTCTTAGGGGTGAGACACGGGGCAATTCCATATACAGTGCACTGGGGGTGTGAGCCGGCCTCTAGTATACTTGAGTGTAAGCCGGCCTCTAGTATATACTGGGATGTAAGCCGGCCTCAAGGCCGGGAAGACTGGGGTGTAAGCCGGCCTCTAGTATAATGGGGTGTAAGCCGGCCTCGAGGCCGGGAATACTGGGGTGTAAACCGGCCTCTAGTCCCGGAAGCACAGCTCTACCGACTCGACTCTACCCCGTGATGATGACCCGTTCCCACATTATAACCCCGCTTTTCTTCTTTTTGTTCTCTTGTTGTGATGTATTATGCCACAACGACCGTATTCGCCACTGGATGAAAACGAAGTAAGTTCAAATTTAGATTTATTTGTGACGGCGTTGGCATGGGTACCAATGTGTTCCTAGGCAAAATTTCAGGTTCATGCTTTTATCCGACTGATGATCGCCCAATCTCAGGATAGATCACGCATCGATCAAGAATCATGAATAACTTTGAAATCAGTAGTCGCAATGCACATCACGTCTCGGCAGATATGATCTTATGTCGTCTATCTTTACGCTAGGACACAGAGCGATGCGTCTACATGGATAGTGTCTTTCTCTGTGTCACTGTACATGCATAGTGGTTAGTTTGTCTTGCATTACATCGCCCCTTCCAAGTAGTGTGATAGTGATGAAGGAAGATTGCTAGTAAAAACCGGTTTGATTATGAAGTACTTTAGCGATATATCCGGCTCTCTATTAAATTTCAATTGGGTAAATCAAATTGTTTTTGTATTTTGAAGGTCTCTTCGTCTCGGTCAAAATGTAATCAACTCATTCCCAATGTCATGTAAAGATCTCCAGAAATCCAAAGAAAACGTCTCCCTGCCATCCGGTGAGCAACCCTACGTAGCATGAAACATCGAGTGAAAATTAAATTAAATTTCCTTGTGTAGATTTGCATGCTTCGCGACAGAATTTCTTAAATGACATGGCAGTTTATCTCTTACTGAATTGAATCGCTGGTCCAGAATAGACGTATTGCACCGGTGACTGCGTTAAACCTTGTCGCAGCAACCTTCTTCATGTGTTGAGCACTACGTAAAGTTAATTGCACTATTGTTTTGTAATGTTGATTGTCTTTGCTTCCCACGACTTGCGAGAGGGGCTAATGTGTACGAATTTCTGTACATTCTAAGAACCCTGTATTTGTGTGCATTGTAAGTGTGAAAGTGGAATCCAATATCACTGCCCCACTTTTTCTCGTTACAATTGGTTGTTTAGGCTATTACATGATCCTGTCACACAAAGGCACCTTCATTAAGGTAAGCTACACGTGGGCCATAACAGATGTCTGGCAATCGCAATACTACTAGTACATTCTGTTGTACTTCAGTACGATAGAGTCGAGAACCACAATCCAAAATCATAATAATTATTTGCAGAACACTTCAGATGTTAGGATTGTATTCCTGGCTTTATCGTTCATGTTTAATTTAATTTAAGTTAATTTTAACCCTTTGCGGTGCATCAGTCATTAACGACTGATATTGTGTAAGAACCGTAAAACTGTCGTAACTCCATCGATTTTAGTCCTGTTGCAAATATTGAAATATGTAGATCCAAGAGGAAGCTCCAAGCTTTCCAATGGTGTAATCGCTTAACGATGATAAATGTATGTCTTTAACTATCGTCTGATCTCTATCTGACTGTTTCTGTAATTACCTAGGTACATGTATCGCTTTCGCTCTCCGGTCATTCACGCACACAAACACTAACAAACGTACGCACGTGCCCACACCCACACACTGGAAACAGACAGAAAGACACAGAGAGGCGGACTGAGACAGCGTAAGGCATATCAAAGAGATAGAAAAACATTAATAATAATAATAATGACAGTTCGCATTTCACTCATTGCATGAGGTCAACGCATCTGTTAACAATTTCGAGCCAAGCAGCTCTATCAGAAGCAGATTGCACAGCATCCAGAAGCGACAGATTAATGCATTGTAAGTCTTTCTTGACAACGTCGATCCATCTCAGACGTGGCCGTCCTCGGGGTCGTCGTATGTCTGTTGTGTTGATCGACATTAGGAGGGCTTGGAAAGAGGACGATTCTTCGCCTTCCCTCACTACATGGCCGAACCACAGCAGTCTCCGTTGCCTGCAGACTTGGGATAGTGGGGTCTGCTCGGTTCTGGCATACAGCGCTGTGTTCGAGATTCGTTGTGGGTACGTGATACCAATGATGGTACGTAGTTTCTTCCGGTGCCATACATTGACGACGTCGGTTAATGTTTGCGATAAGGTCCAAAGCGCACAATTATACAGCAAGACAGGCAATATCAGGCAGGAAAACATACACAGCCTGGAATTCAGGTTGTGGCGTTTCCATGGAATGCCTGCAAATGCCCGATTTGCAGCAGACACTCTGGCTGCTATGTCTTCTGCTGTGCCTAGCATACTCCCCAGCAGCTTCACCGATTTCCAGGAATCATCTTCCTTGGTCACAGTGAAATATTGAGTTTTTGCCACGTTCAGCTTCAGATTGTCATCCGAGAAAACGGGTTCACACACACGGACGGTTTCTTCCACAGATGATCGCTCGTTCTGATGGGCAGTGGTGTCGTCTGCGTATTGTGTGAAAGTTGCTGGTAGGTCTGACGCGGGTAGAGCTTGCTCTCGGATCCTACGCATGGAACCTTCGGCGTAAGTTATAAACATTATTGGTGACATTGGGTCACCCTGGACGACGCCGATGTTTGTTGGAAATGGTTTGCTTAGTTGTTTACCAAGCTTCGTGCGGGCTGTTGTGTTTGATACTAGGACTGCAGTGGTGGACGTTGGTGCGCCAGCAGTGGCTAACCTCTCCAGAGCAACCTGACGAATGACAGTGTCAAACGCACCGCTGAAGTCCAATAGTGCCGATGAATATGACCAGTCGCCAAGTAGTGCGCGCTCACACATCGTCCTGGCGTAAAAGACACCATCCGTGGTCGATCTGCCAGGGCGGAAACCAGCTTGGCTCTCTGCCACATATGACTGCACATGGAGTGTGTGTCGTCGAGTGAGTATTGACGTCAAGATCTTACGGACGACGGAAAGGAGCATAACGGGGCGGTAGCTTTTTGGATGTCCTAGAGGCTTGCCGGCTTTGTAGATGGGAACGATGAGGCCGCAGCGCATGTCGTCAGGACAGTACTCTGTAGCTTGAACAGCGTTGAAGAAATTCGTCAGCCAGGGTGCGAAAAGGTTTTTAGCTGACTTCAAAGCATCAGCACTGATACCATCAGGACCGACAGCACCACCAGACTTCTGCTTGATAATTGCAGACCGTACTTCTTCGATTGTGAATGGATCTTCCTCATTCGATTGCTGCCTGAGGTCGAGTGGCTGGCCATCAGTGTAAAATACCGATTCATAATATTCATTAAAGGCATTAAGATTCCATGAGATGTCTGCCATGATTCTGCCGTCTGCGTCAGCAAGACGCACAGGCGCAGCCTTCTTCCCAGAGCGTAGTTGGCGTAAGTTGTTGATGGCGTTGAAGTAGGACCGTGGGTCAGGGCGTAAAGCATCTACTTCAACAGCCTTACGTTGCCAATATTGCTCGCCCTCCTTCTGTAGTATCCTTCGAATCTCGTGGAGTTTTGCAGATCTTTCAATCTTTAAAGCTTTACTTGTAGAATTATGTACTATGCAAACATTCAGAAAATTAATAGAAATAAAGAGGTAGTGATGTAAGAGGACTATAATTAAGAACAAACCAACGTCTCGGTTTACGAAACTCCCTTTATCCACTTTCTCAGTATCCACATGCCCATCGCTGAAGTGATGATAGCGAACAAGCGAAGTCCATCCATAAACATGTGCAGTTTACTTTGAAGTATACAGTATACAGTACCCAGTTGTTCTTACACACAGCCGCTCTCTCACCAAAGGTTTCCAATGTAGCAACCTTATAGTAAAGAAAAAGGTCCAAGAAACTACAAGTTACGCTATAATGTCCACTAGCACCACCAGTTACTAAACAATCAGCTCATGCGATAACATTGCACGACACTGACCGTTTCTTGGTCCTTTTTTTCTTTACTATCAATGTATCCTTGGCTCTACATCCGATTCCATTCTTGCACACCTAGTGTAGCAAGTGGTCAACATTATGGCCGGACTATTGTGCTATTCTCCTTAGGTGTATTGCGAGATGGAACGCTATGGAGGCGGATGGACGCGGATTGCCTACATAAATCCAAGAGAGCAACAGCGATGTCCTGGAACCATGCGCTTCCAAGATTTGGAAGTACCGATATGCACAAGACCAATCACCCAATCTGGATTGTGCTCCTTGGCAACATTCCATGCTTTGCCTGGCGAATACAGCGAAGTCATAGGGTTCGTCACTGGATATCGTGTAAGTGAAGTGTTACGCAAACAGGAGTTATCCTACGGTGAATTGTTGTTGTGTGTAGTAGTTACTTGGTGTAGACGGCTGAGACCGCATGGAGGAGAAGAGGTGGAGAATCATATTGTTGAAGTGTTATCTTAATGCCACAATCTCTCCTCCTCTTCTTCTCCATACCCGCTTAGCCGAAAACTTGGCTACCCTCCATAGCCATTAAAATACATCAATAAAGCGAAAGAAAGAAGTGGTTACGGGTACTTCAGTCACTATTTAGATCGTATTTTCACTATTTAAATAACAACAAAACAACAGTCTAGATATGTTTTTATTTTTTTACAATGATCACAGCCCACAGGCAAAGTCAAAAGGTTTTGTTTTTTCACGGCTGAGCGTAGCGAAAGAGTGCAAAAAACGTATTTTTTACTCACAAATATTTTCGTGCATTTGCTCTTGTTCTGCGCAACTCCGTTGAACCTGCCATCACGGTCTTTGTTTTTCCTCGTGGTAGTTGAAGTTGCCCACCCACCCACCCTGGTTTCATGGGAGTCGTCCGCTGTTCTTCTTGACAATGTATGCCTATGTGTGTGGCTTATGATTATGACATACACCGGTTATTACATACCATTTCTTGCTATCTCTATTCTTAGGTCTGACTGGCAGCGGGGCAGGAATTAATGAAATAGAAAGGTTTTTTGGCCGAAAGGCGTGTTTCTCTAGCCCAGTTGAGTGGTCGCGGCTAGGAATGTAGGGAGTCATTGTTTTTCAGGCGCTCCCCTGCTGCCCAGTCACCCATGCTCACCACTGGCCATGCTGTTTCACTTGATTTCACGGCCTTTTCTCCCGCTTGCTGGCGGTTCTTTGATGGATTTAAATGTTTTTCGGCTATTTATCTATTATGTGGCTGCGAGTGTGGGTTTTTTGCTTCTACTCATTTCTGGAAAACCACCACGGTGGTGAGTGTGATTGCTCTGGTAGACCACTACCCCATGTACTGAACAGTCGCTTTATGAGTGAAAAAGCATAGTGATGGTGAGGCTTTTTGCCCTCAGCCAACCCGAGGTCTCGACGTCATGGGGACTAAAAACGCACCAGAAAGAAAGAAGAATAAAAAAATGAAAGGAGTGACAGCTACATGCACATCATCAGATACGAAATGTTAGGAGTAGAGACAGCACATTAGAAGGAGGGGAAAGATAAGACAGACCGTGTCAGGAGGAGAAGGCGAAAAAGGAAGAACATACGGTATTGGGAGGAGTATGTGGAGCGCAATTTGAAATTCATGGGGCGAAGCAGAGATGATGCTGTTGAGTCCCGTTCAATAGGCCAAGTCAGACGGGATAACAGAGAGAGAGCGCAGAGGAAGCGGATGATTGAACGGACGCTGAAGGGAGCAATGAGTCGGAGAGCGACGATTGTAGTGATCGTGAGAGTGCCGGTGAGAATGTTAGTGTTGTGCGTAGGTTTCGTGGTAGCAAGTCTTCAGTGTACAATCATCTGTAGGCTAGCCCTGATTTTTGCAATTCGTATTCCGACACTTTTTTCACTGTATTGTGCCGTGCTTGTCATGGTTATGAACTACAGCTAAATGTTTTGGAACCCTTTCTTCACATTTTCATCGTTTTATTGCACATTGTCTCCACAGTTTTACATTACATGAATAAAGTGTACACAAAATTTCGTCGATCCAGCTTGTATTACTAATTGCGGCTATCAAATTGTTGTTTCCTCGCCGTTTGTTCAAATAATAATAATGTGTTGTTTTTTTCACGGCTGAGCGTAGCGAAAGAGTGTAAAAAACATATTTTTCACTCACCATTTTTCTGTCGTGCTCTGCTGCTCTTCCACTACGCAACTCTCCTCCACCTGCCATCGTGGTCTTGTATTCCTCGTAGAGCGTGGAGTTTTTCCCGCCTTCCCTCCCTTGGGTCCCGTACGTTTTTGGGTTTCCATTGGGTGCAGTTTTACTGGTTTTCCATGGCATGCTTTGTTTTGTGTGTTTCTGTCCCGAGGGTCTCGGTGTTTTTTTTGGTTGTATGATTACTCCTTTCTGCTTGTTTCTCTTCGGTTTTTCTTTTGGGTGTGACTGGCAGTGGGGCAGGTCCCATATTAGTAGGAGGGATTTTTGGCCGCAAGGCGAGTTTTTCCCCCAGCCCGGTTGAGTGGTCGTGGCTGGAAATTTAGGGAGTCGGATTTTCAGGCGCTCCCCCACTGGCCAGTCACCCACACCAGGACATATCTCTGCTCGTGTCTTGCACTGACACATCTCTTGCTGGCCGCCTTGCTCTTTATTACTTCTGGCCTAGTTTTGGCTAGCGTGTGGCTGCGAGCGTGGTGTGACGGTATACTGAGTACATTGTGTGAGTACATTCTGGTAGACCACTACCGCATGTACAACCCGGTTGCTATGTGAGTGAAAAAATACATTTAGTTATTTGCGTTTTATAATATTTTTTATGACTTTCCCAAAGGCTTTGGGCCTGTCGAGGCGATCTACTGCAAGAAGATTGAAATGACAACTTTATGTAGAGGGAGCAGTTAATCGAGGATAGGATAAGGAAATAGATCGAGGCATACAAAATCTGGTAAAGTAAGAGTTGGGATACCGTCAGTGTTAATGAATATATCGGCGAAAATGCTGATAGAGAGAATGCTTGAATTCGGGGAGGCTGGTTATAGAGGTAAGAGAAGGCGTTATGATTAAAAGGTGTTCTTCTGGCATTCACCAGAAATGAACCACCATAATGTGGCACATACATGCTTTGTGTTTTTCCAAATTTCAAAAATTCCTTGTACTAGCCTGAAGAGAAGGGAAAGAAAACGATTGATGGAAGGAAGTATGTACTTGATTGTGTGGATTTGCGTCTTTGTATGCGAAGGTGTAGATTGCGAAACTATTTTCACCGCCTCCAAACGACCACTTCTCAGTATATGGATATTTAGGGGAAAAAAACACTCGATACACTTACTATTCAGTCACAGCCCTGATTCAAAGTTGCAATGGAGAGCAGCCAACAATGGGGAAGTGATCATGGCTTATAGTGCTAAGAAGCGGTGGAGCTCGCGAGAGATATTGTGGCGAGCTTCAGTAGCAGATCGATTATTATGCATTCTTTCCTGGAAAGGCTGGAAAAAAGGCTGCACAGCTAAAACATGCCTTGTCTGTGTGTTGTTGATGCCAGGAAAACACTCTGGATGGATTCGATGCACTCGACAGTGTCGGGTTAAATAGCTTCTACGTGGATGGTGTCTCTGTCACCTATGGTTCTCCTATGCGTCATCTATGGACTTACGGAGCTAGTGGTCATCGTACCTGTCCATGCAGCCCGGGCGTTCGACCTCCATCATTTGTTGGAAGTCACTATTATTGCGCTGACCATGAGCGTGTTGGGGGATCCTGGACATTCACTCCGGCTGCACATGCATGGAGCAACACCAGTCAATGCCGCGCTAGTGGTACATGTTGTGACAACACAGACATGCCGTGGTTTCACCGTCAACTGGACACCAGTACCTCTGATCAAGTACAAATACGCATTTGTGCAAATCAGGCCAGTTCAGATGAAGATGTTGGCATTGATGAAGCCGCTATCTTCGTTAGATAAATTCTGCTTTTGATCTCAGCAAAGGGTTGAATCAGTGGTAGCCATTGTATGTTGTTTTAACGTCATAATTATGCTCTGATAATCACAGTGAGGAATCCGGCCACAAAGCCTGCACAAATACACATGAATAACAAAGACTGTTTGAAAAAGATACTAAACACCAATAGCTGCCTCGGAAACCGCCAGCGTGGCAGGAGGCTCTTGTCGATTAATTCTTTGTAGATGTTTCCAAATAATGTTGTACACCCTCTAAGGCACACTATACTGGCCCTTAGTAGGGCACAGGAAATGCAGCACCTGACAAATACCATCTCACGCTGCTGATGAGCGGATTCCATTTTTTAGAATAATTTTTACATCTTTTGTTTCCTTTACTTTGTAGTCTCCTCGTAGCTGCTGAAATCATTCGCGCTCCTCAATCTTTCACTGCCACCTTTTCCATTCTTGCGCGCTTTATCCTGTGTGTGGAAGATCCTTGATCACTTCCAGTACTCACCTAGTACCTTTTCTTACGAGTAGGTTGTGTGTTCAGTAAAAAATTAAAAAAGCACCACAACACTTTCCTTTCTACTTCTCGCCATTATCAGCTGCATTCAAGAACAATGAAGAGTCCTTCGTTTTTCGGTTTCAAAGGCTGCAGCAGCTGTTTACAAGTTGCAACTAACAGGCCCACTAGTAAACCCTTCAGATATGTTGAGAGGAGATTTACTGTCAAATTTGCGTATAATGACACTCGGCCGGGCACCAGAAAAGTGTCCCTATTCGCGAAGTTTCGTTCTATCCGAAGTCTCATTATACATGTATGTATAGAGGTAGTATGGACTTTGCTCCAGGCATGGAAAGTCTGTCGTTTTTCGCAAATTGTCGTCATATCCGCAGTCGTTATTAGCGAAATTGAATGTACCTAGATGGAAACTAGTTTGTAGATGTAGAGGCTATGCGTAGGACGTCATTATAATTATTTCGTTATGTTTTGCTTTGAGCGGCAATCCAGAGCTTCTTATGCTTCTCAATAAAAATTAACTGTACCGATGACAATATCACATTGCCTGCACACAGTCCACTCTGTCTGACACTCCTCGCGTGGCAAATCTGTAGGTGTCCAGTGCATTCAGCTCGGTTTTTGTAACATGCATAACGTCATCGAAATCAAACGCTGCGCTAACATTTGACTCATTGGTTGGATATTTGGATGTAGTGGAAAGCGTACAAATCGAGGAGTGAAGAAGGATTCATCATCATCATCATCATCATCATCATCATCTTCATCATTATCTGCGTTGGCGAAAAAAATTATAATAGTAAAAATAAATGTAAAAAAGAGAAGAAACACATGAGAACGAGTTATGCAGCAACTATCCACGACTGTAACAAGATAATAAACGGTCAGAAAGTGCAATAATAGGGCACAAAACTGACAAGCTACTGAGACATTATCCAACATGTCTTTCTTCTCTTTCTTACATTTATTACTGGCTCAGTATCCGAGTTAAAGTAAAAATAAAAATAAAAATAATAAACGGCATTATGCAGCTGTGTAAGCAGTAGATGCACAGTGTGACTGCCAGGCATCTCTGTCAGATGCCAACTGGCAATTCTCATTCAGAGACAGGATTAGACAAGGCTAAATGGAGAGTGGCGTGTCCAATGAAATCCGGGCTACAGTGTGGTGAGCATTCGACCTTAGGGCTAAAAGCTGGGCAGGTCATGTGGTGCGGCGGGCTTGTTCACATTGATTGAAACGGCGAAAGATCCTTTCTTTTTTTAAAGATAATCGGTGGCGAGGAATAATGTTGTGGCGTTGAAAACTGGGTTTATCTATCCTTACTGAAGTATTTAGGAAAGAGCAGAACCACCTCGGAGACTAAGAACGCATTGTTGATGCCGATGTGTGAGCGTCTTGTTAGAGTTGCACACTTTCAAATCTACGACAATAGTAGTTTAAAGCATTCAACTGCTGAATATGAATGCTGCCTGACCCAGGGTGACGTCATGATGGAGCAAGTAAAGGCATAGAGAGATATTTTGTGGTGGCCTTATAATGAACCTATAAATCTGCGATGCGGAGACTGGAGAGTGAGTTGAGTAAAACATCTTTTTTTTGAATTGAGCTTAAAGTGAGCTAAGCAAACATTTTTAAGAGAGTTAATCGCCTTACTCACTTTTTCCTTACACAGCACATCTGCTGATGCTGAGATAGAAGCTGGATTTTGAAAAAGGGACTTGTGAGCGTCGGAATTGTTGTCAATTCCTGAGTAAACGGAATTCAAGATAATGTAGAGTAGGTGTGAAAAGGTGTTACGAGTCCACGCCGATATATACCGGAAGAAAGAAATTTCCAGTTTGAAAGAGAAAAGCCAACTTCTAGAACTCTTGGATACAAGTATCAGGATGTCAGGCTATTGATTGTAGTCTCTGTCAATGTTGTTCTACAATTTGACATAACAATAATTTATTACTGTGCTGACTACACATCGCGTGGATTTGGCCGCTAATCACTTCGCTAGCACTTAGGCAGATGTGCTTTATTATCTGGTCACACTGGCGAACTCCTATTTAAAGCTCTCACTCTTCCAGTTTGGGATCAGTTCGGAATTCTATGATCTGATACCTCTTGCTTCCTTGACCTCTCTGAGCAAACTGTGTTCTGGAAAGTCTCTAACGCCCGACCATGGACCTTTTTGCTTTCTTCTGCATCATGTGGATGGTATCCAGGACTCTGATGTCAGGAACTATTGCTCAAACTACTTATTTACCCCCAATACCTGGTAGGTACAACCTGGTAGGTACAATTGGTATTTTCTTATACTAAGATCTTCAAGATGTCCAGGAATACACTGCTGCACAATATGCTTGATATACGCAACTGAAGATATCCATATGCCACAACAAGATATATTATATATTTTAAAATATTTGAAACTCGGGTATTGAGCCAATAATAAAAGGAGAAAGGGAAAAGGACATATGGAAACGAGTTAAGAGTAACTCTCCACCACTGTAACTAGATACTATATACAGTCAGAAAGTGCAACAACTAGGCACAAAACTGACAGAGTACTGAGACATTCGACGTCCTGACACCTAGCTTCAACACATCTCCGTAGCGCTAACCGACAGCCTTCCAACCTGGAAGGTTCGAGGTTATGGAAAGACCAAAGAGGGGAAGGCAACAACTTGTTTTGTAGTTAACTAGTCCATCACAATGTCATGCATGAGGAGTACTGTAGGAGTTTAGATTTCGGCTTGTACAATTCGTTCTCGCAAAGCTTCCCCCTTCTTAACTTATCTTTGATATTTTTGACCCACCCAAGTTGGGTGGTGTGCTGCTTTGCTGCTTCGAATTGTAGTTAGACCGCTTTGTCAAATCGCCTACTGGTCTCGTCATCGTCCAGTGACAATCGACATTCTTTGTTCCGTTTGGACTGTAGCTTGTGCTCGTTTTCGTTGCGCTTGCCTTCCCCTCTTTGGTCTTTCCATAACCTCGAACCTTCCAAGTTGGAAGGCTGTCGGTTAGCGCTACGGAGATGTGTTGAAGCTAGGTGTCAGGACGTCGAATGTCTCAGTACTCTGTCAGTTTTGTGCCTAGTTGTTGCACTTTCTGACTGTATATAGTATCTAGTTACAGTGGTGGAGAGTTACTCTTAACTCGTTTCCATATGTCCTTTTCCCTTTCTTATTTTAAAATAATATCTCTTAATTTGCTGGCCAAAAATCCTATACAGTTGAACATCGATTATCCGCACATCGACTATCCGACCATTCGATTATCCGTAACAGTTTTTTTGGGCGCACGTGCCGTAGAGTACGCACTGTGCATGTAGTGAGCCATTCAAAAAATACGACAATTTTGAAAAGTAAAAAGTAAAAAGGTTGTGCGGCTAGTAATAACCACTGAAAGTGTGTGAGTGACAGTTTTTTCTTATCCAGAACATTCGCCTTATCTGAACACCGCCTGACAGTTGTCTGCCCAGAGGTGGTCGGATAATCGATGTTCAACTGTATAGGATTTGAAAATGTGTGCCTTTTATGCGCTGTTATTGGTCATTACGACCAATAATAACGGCATAATGGTTTTCATAGAAGTTGTAAATATGTTTGAGGCATGAATGTTTACATTTTAGATTCATAGGGCGAAAATATTTCTGATGAATACCCATTTTCAGCAAGAATTGGAAATTTGAGCATAATTGTTCAGCTGCTGTCATGGATAGGACTGAAGCAGTGAATGTGCAGAAGAACATTGCAGGTGTGGCACGGGGTGGTTTCATGACGACATATCGCACATGCCGTCATGAAACTACCAGTTTTAAGGATAAAACAAGGTCCAATAAAACCTCAAATCCTATATATAGGATTCGAAAAATAGGGCACAGGCCTTAGTAATATTGGGCAAGGAGATGAGCCTGAGATGTTAGTGTTTGAAAAAACTATCTTATTCAACTCTCGATATCTACTAAGACCTAGCAAGGAAGAATTGGTCACATACCTTTTGCTATTCTCATGCCACACCCATTTTGAGTTGAAAAATATGACCAAAATCCTATATATATAGGATTTAGCAAATAGGTCTTTTGCCAAATAAGACACACAGTGACTTGGCGGGGCAAGGCATGTGTACTGAATGCGTGACCCAGGCACGCGATACATGCAGTGCATTCCTCCCAGCGCGAGCTCTTGTCCTGGAACCGCAACGATCAATCACCGCGTTTGGCGTGTACTCACCCAGGCGGCCAGAAAAACGGGACTCTCCTGGATCGAAAAAAAACTGACAGCGAAGGATTCTGTTTTCTTCTCGCTTCTTCATTGCTGTCCGATATGTAGAAAGGTTTTTTTGCATTTACTTCTTGCTGGACCTTTGTGATATGTTTGGTACATGGCTGATGAAGCGGTCAATGAGCCGAGCACTTCATCTCTTGTGGCGGTACGTTGCGATGAAGGGAATGTTGATAGTAGTCCTGCGACTCCAGGCTGCGAGGGAGAATCAAGTTGAATTAGCGATCCCAAAGCTCGGTTTTTGATGCCTTTGGACAACGAGTCCTTTTTAAAAAAATGGAAAATCAACCAGTTGAAGACTTACCTGCGAGCTAGAGGAGCCGGAGTGTCCAGGAAACGGGGTGATTTGCTCGATCGGTAAGTACCACTTCAGGATGCAGTCTTCAACATTTAGCACAAGAAAAAGTACATTAACCGATAACTTTCTCCATCTGTTCAGGGTCTGGTTCTATCACATCGATCCAATACTGTGCACTCCAGATATATTTGGCGGCAGGTATCGGCAAGGAAAGCGGAAAACCGCTGCCATTCAGAGCATTGTTGACGCCGAGCTCGTGGAAGCCCATAGCAACGCAATGAGCATATCGTCCCTCTAGCAGCTACATTTCGTCCTAGTTTTCCTGACAGTTGGTGCAGCTCTGCTCTACCAAAGGACCTATTGTATGGTTGCAAAGATACTTTTATATTCGCCCTTGTAGGTCTGTTCTGACCATGGAAATTGATAAACCGCCAGCACTAATATTAATCAAGAGGGGTATTATTATTCATTGCACTTTTGCAAATATTGCAATCTAAATTATATCATACTATCCATATTTATACCCACTAAGTCATTAGCTGCTCCGTATTGTGCATGATTGTTCAGGCATGACAAAATTCGTGTTGCTGAAGATCAATTCGCCATGCAATGCTAGCAACAGTTGGCATGGAAAACATAATTTGCTTCAGCAAGTAAAGGAGCCTGGAATACTGTGAGCAGGCAGCGAGCAATCCATATCTGAATGATGATAGGGAAAAGAATTGTTGGAACGATCTTTGAAGAGATAGAGAACTCCCTGATTCGCTCCATCAGACACTCAACATGAATTCGTAACGTGGCAATTTGTTGCGTTTTCTGGACATCTTCTAAGGCCATCTGTTGCTCGGATCGCTTGAACGGGGGTATGTTCACCTTTACGCCATTTGGCATCAAGAGATCCCAGATGTCAAATCCTTCGTCTGCCATAATCAAAGTCCCATAGCCGGCTACTGGCAGAAGATCTAAGTAGTGGCTTCTGATTGTGAGCTCGTGGTCACTGGTGGGTCCCGTAAATGACTTGGAGGTAAGCGCCACACCACCATCTGGGGTCATACGGATGAGGCTCGTCAAGGTTGTAACGTTATGCGTCTTATATGAGCTGTAGAGTTGCGATTGCGCAGACAGACTGGAAGCGATATTACATTTCAGCACTGTAGCATCTATGATCATGAATGTTGTAGGATGCAGCTTTTTGAAAACATCCAGCAATCGTTCTGCCACTTGGGAAGGACGCGGCGAGATTGGTATGTGTGCCGTGGCGAAGACTAACCATGGTACTGAAAAAGCTCTCCAAGCCAATTAACTTAATCTTCCGTTCATCACCGGGTTTCCTTTTCCGGGAATCGGCATCCACTGGTTTACTGCGAAAGGAAAGACGCTCTTATAATCCAGGTGAAGAAATTGAATACATGCATCAAACGCAGCAAGCAAAGGAAAACCAGTGGAGTACTGAATGTCAGAGTCTTCAAACCGAGCTAAATCTCCAGGCTGAACTCCACTTGGATATCGTGGATAGCGACTATAGTATTCATCAGTGAAATGGTTATTGTATGGCATGATGGTACCCGTAGTTATTCCGCTCATCTCGACGAATGGCGGCAATCCAAGACTTTCTTGTGTCCAACTGGTCACTGCTCACGCTCTTAGCTTCTCCAGTTTTCGATTCCTTGCTAGCAGGGAAGACATGGAACAAAGTATTTTGTCTGAACGTCGGTCGCTGTTGCACTGCGGAACGCAGCAGTGATCGACTTTCCCATGGCTAAAAAATCTGGAGAGATGTTCTAGAAAACAAAACTAAACCCTTTACAAGAACTAGGCAGAGAAAATCCAGTGACCGTCCTCATTGTATTATTCTAGAATGTCGATCGCGATCGCTTGAAGAAACATAGTTTTTGAAAGACACAAGCAAAACAAAAAAAGAAAGTCACTATTTTCTCTACGGTGAGTACACGCCAAACGCGGTGATTGATCGTTGCGGTTCAGGAACAAGAGCTCACGCGTGACTCGTAATGCACTGCATGTATCGCGTGCCTGGATCACGCCTTCAGTACGCATGCCATGCCCCGCAAAGTCACTGTGTGTCTTATTTGGCAAAAGACCTATTATGAGATAGCAAGTAAAAATGTGCTGCGCTTGCGTAGTTGTTCTTACTGCGATACATTCTAACAATAACGAGATGCCTTTTGTCGGCTCTTCTGCCTGGATTTCGTGGACAGATGCGTTAAGCCCATGGATCCTTCCATGAGTGACATGCGAACTGTAACTTTTATTAATATAGCAAGTAAGATGAAGGTTTTAGCGTATGATGCCGAAAGAGTCATCACATTTCCCCTCTGATCCTTACTGTGCAGAAACATGCATGACGGAGTGGCTGAGACTCGCATTTCCCAGTAAAGACATCGCCGATTTGGGGAAGTATGAAAGGGCACTGCGGGCGTTCGAGACTCCCATGGACTCCGACTCCATTACGAGGACCAGTCCGTTCCTATTGATCCGTTGTGTTTGATGGAGAGGACAAAGCAAGTAACTTCTCTAAATGCGCGGGTAAGTACAATTGTTGCTGTACGGACAATGAGGAGGAAATCTGACTCTATAATCAATGAAAACTCATAAGATTGTCCATGAATGTTCAACATTGTTGGGATGAAAAGAATTGCATGCCATTGTCTTCCATATTTCGCATCGTCGGATTGTAGACCTCAGGATATAGCCTTGGAGAAGTGGATGATTATCAGGGAGCGGAACACCATTCAACTCGGGAACTCGCACGGCATGCGTGTGCAAAACGGTTCTTTCTCCGTCCTTCAGTTGTTGGAGTTGGTACTGCCGCGCAGTACCTTCAGCGTACTCGAAATGTCCAGTGAGTTTGTTTAACCCTGGAGAACAGTCTAACTGATTTTAAAATCTAAGCAAGAACCCAACGCTGCCTAGAGAGCAAGGTTGACATTGAGCAACTTTCTTGGCCTGTACTGTTGTGTGATTCAAGGCTCAAGAAAGCACGCAGGGGACTGATCACGGCAGAAGGTAATGATTTTTTTTTTTTAATTTTATTTATGGATTCCCCAAAGGCCGAGGCCTAAGTCGAGGGGGTCTCCGTTCATGGCTTACTGGGAATATATCTGGAAAATTATAACGTATAGATTGAGAAGAGGAAGGGTTATAACAAATGCATACTGTAGAAATGATCGCATGAAATAGCGGGGCGCATTTTGAAGGTCCTAGTAGACAGCTAATGCAAAAACATATCGGTAGTACATTCTCGTGAGTGTCAGTCATACTAACATTTCCATTTCCGGAGATACATGCACGCTACCACTCCCTACTAACAATGGCCAAATGCAGATCTTAACCTTAACTGGTGTGTGTATGTGAGGGGGGGGGGGGGGGTGGGAGTGGTTGTGGAGACGGAGGGTTGTGAAGTACATGTAAGTAGATCAGAAACGCCAAAAAAGTCAAGCGGTTGGGTAACGCCTGAGAATGGCACACGCTGTATCCATTACTCTGGAGACATGAAACCAGTTCTCGTTGTTTGGTTGTACCGTGGCAGACAGATTCCTCTTCTAGCAAGCAGTGCTGGAAAAAGTCATAATTTGAATACTTTCTGCTGGTTACAGACCAAGAACCTGAGTACACAGCATCAGATTTCCAGCACTTCTGTTGAAACTGAGAATGGTTTGTAGTGTTTGCCCAGGGAACAAGGGATCCGCAGATCTCAATATCTGTTTGTGAGCTGATACCGTTAGTTTTGTAGGGGGCCTTCGGAGTGCCGCTCTGGGCACGCAGTGTTGTAGTCCTCCTCAAAGCTAGGTTGCTGGATCGCTACAAATAATAGTTGAGTGCTTCTGGAGCATTAAACTAAGTTTACTCAAGCCTGAGTCCTTACTCCTGAGGAGCGGTGCTTTCAGCATGCTTGGAGTGGTCCTCTCGTGGTTCTTTCTATAAGGGTCGATGATTTCCTTGATTTTGCGGGAGCAGTCAATAGCCAGTCGTGTGTCAGTTGATTGGACGTGAACCATAAGGTATGTAGACAACATGTACTGCTCACTGAAATCCGATCTTTCTGGGGAATTCCACAGCTGACGCTGTGCAGCCGTAGACCTATGAACACTGGGATAGGAAGTGGCACAGCGCAATGTTGATTCACGCTGTCGGATTTCATTGAGAAATACCTGACAGCAACTGTTATGTTTTTTGATCATCAACTGTACATGTGTATGTGTCGCACGTATAGATAAAGGCTGCACTCACCCAATGCCGTGCAAACACGGAGGATGTTGTATCTACGCTGACGTCGCACTGGCTGGCAGTAAGGGGAGCGCACAGGCGAAGGAATACCAATGTGCTTGCAACCCTGGCTATGCTGGATTGTTCTGTGACAACGGTACGTGTCCAACAATAATAGTTGAAATAATCTACATGTGGTGATACAAGTACGTAATTCCATACTTGTGAGGCAAAACATGTAAAATAAGAAAATGCTCCTTCAAGTTTCATATAAGGACGAGGCTCATGCGGGCTAATTTGTTTGGAACCACTGCAAGTAGAACAATAGTCAATATATAATGCAGTGCGATAGTGAAATGTGCCTGCAGGTATTACTGCAATCACATCATGGTACCCTTGGGAGAGTTGCCACGGAAATGTGTCAGGCAATTTTGGACAGAAAACCGCTACTGCGCTTGATTCGCAAAATTTCGTATTAATTTTGTTAATTAAGGGGGCACATCACCCAAAAATTTCATATGGCATTCAATTGACCGTAACTTTGGTGTTTCTCAGTGGATTTGAGTGAAATTTTGACCACACACTCCTGCCACTATGCTGGCCCTCAGGACATGATTTACAAGTTCTTGCGTCTCACTGACAGGCTTTCCAGGCCGGAAAAACTCAAATTTCCGGCATAGTGCTACGGTGTGCGAGCCACCCAGGAGCCAAACAAATGCATTTACATTTTTTCACATTTTCGTGCCCATTCTGTCCGTGCGCGGGACCCAAACCTAAAACAAGTCCAGAAGCAGCCATGGGTGGTGGGGTAGGGCCCCTCAACGTGGCCCTGGAATCTGTCACAACGGAACGAGTGGGCGTTCTTTCACGGACTCCCACAGACCCAAGGCAATTTTTGAATTTTTTTAGGTTTGGCACGTGCTACGAGGTCGTACCTTTGATACAACATCCAGTGCTGGGACCTCCACAGCAAGCCATTTCCACAGCGCTGCAAACCAAATCCAGGATGCCCTCAGAAACCGGCAAAGACTGCCACTCACGTTTCACTACTGCCTAGTACTGAATCCTACCTGACTTCTTGACACGACTCAAACTTGCCAAAGTCACTAAATCAACGTCAACTACAATAATCAAGCCACATATCTGCAACGTCACGAGGGTGCTGGCAAAAGTCCTGCTGCACGGCGGCGGGCTTCGCCCGCCGCCGTGCAGCCCAATACGTGGTTTTTTAACGTGATTTTTTGGACTTTTTTGGACTTGGGGCAAAATTCTGCACACTTTCGCGTGTTTCCATAATACGACAAGTTGCGCACGGTCTGCTCACATTCAAATACAGTGCTGCCAACAAATGACAGCATGCAACAACAAAATCTTTCCTTGCAAGGGCACATTTTCGGCCATAACTCTTGAACGGCTGGTCAGATAGGGACACAGTTTTCAGAGAATTTGCAGCTATCCATGCTCTTTCAACTGACGTAGCACTCAATATGAATTTACAAATTCGATTTTTCAGCGAATTTTTGGGTGATGTGCCCCCTTAAATGTGCCTTTTTATTTTGCCGTTCAGTGCTCTCGATCTGTGCCATTGGCAATCCATGTCAGAATGGCGGGACGTGTCAGACTATTGGACAGACAGGATATCGCTGTAGGTGCAAACAGCCATTTCGTGGTCGATACTGCCAAACGTGTAAGTAACGATACGTGTATGGCGGAGGAAAACACGTAACAATCATGAATGGCTCACAATACCTAACACTTAGTATTGTCCCTGGTGGTACTTGAGACTCATGTAATACAGTCCAAATACCATCCATCTTACTTTCACGAGCGCATTAAAACCCATGCACACAAACTCTATCATGCAAACACACACATGCATAATTGACGTGGAGACAGCAGTCGTAAAATAGCAATGAATAAAACTAATTGTGCACTCATAACCATGATTGTCTAAAATGTGCGTAAGCTCCACTGCAACCACTTCATTACATGACAACCCTGTCACACACATCATCTTCAAGTGGTCTCTTCGCTGGAAATTAAAATAATTATTTAATAATCACTGTAATTGAGATGTTATCTCAATCAAATTTTCGGCCAAGAGCCATCATCAGGATTGAGGAGAAAAACAAGTGAGGTGGACCTACATGTCCGTATATCTGCGGAAAGAGGAAGTTGTGTCCGCAGTACGGATTTTAATCGAATATCCCGCAAACGATCATGTATATGATCGATTACTAAAACCATCGTAACTCCATCGTTTCGTGTGCTAATTCAGCAATAGAAGGGTCAATGTGGTAGCAAAAACTTCAAGCTGTCCAATGCAACAATCGCGGAAGCGTTACGATGTCGAACGCCCGAGATATCGCGCTCAGGATTCAGATATTCTTACCTTGGCTAAATCAAATTGTTGATCGAACTCTTCGCCATTTTGGGGAGAAACCCTTTTTGCGTGCTCTTTGAGCGACTGAGTACATGTACTTTAGAATGATGTAGGCGGCTGAAGTTTGAATCGCCTCGAACAAATTTGAGCGTTCTGCGATGAAGGAGAGTGGAATGGTGTTGATGGGACGATTTGCTTGTATATTAGACGTTTACGGAAAACTCTGTAAAATTCTGCAAAATGGCACTGGGCAATACGCATAGGGACAGAGGACACTTAGTAACACTGATTGCTTCAAACGTGCAAGCACCCAATGACATGAAAGCGAATGTGATGATGGCTACGACCATAGGGAGAATAAGGATAAACTATTAATGTATAGGGAGGAGGAGAATGAGAATGATAGTGTGAAATGTTTCAGTGAAGAGAGATCGTGTGTGGTGTGGGGATCTGCACAACACTTGTGTGTTACGGTGCATGTGAATACGGGTTCCTCTGTGCAGATTGGCCAGAAGAGCTGCAGTCAGCCGGAACCGGGAGGAAAGGATTTCCCCAGCTTCCAAACCAAGGAGTAAAGAACCCATCCACCAGTGCTACTGACCATTCGCAAGCTCTGTCACGGTTCAAGTCATCGCTGAAATTCACACTGGATGAGAAGCTCGCAAAGATCGACGCACTACTCGATAGAAGAGCTGGACGAAGTGGTATGGAACTGGCGGGAACGCAATGCATTTTAAAAACGATTACTGCTTTCACAGTTCAGTATGGGATTGATTTACGGGCTTCAATGCGCTCAGCTATTGGCACACACGGAGCTAATAATATAAAATTAATAATAATAACAACTGACCAAAGGCAAATCGCCTATCCAGGGGTTCACAGCATTGACTGGTTGTGGTATAACCAGCAAAGAAGTTAAGCCTCAACGCCTGGTTCACTGCAGGCAACGGCTCCTACTGCAAAAAAACTACTTCAAAGTATGGTGTAAGGAAAAAAAGAGGAAAAATATCGTGTATGTTCCCGAAGGGAACTCATGACGGCCGCTAACACCCGGTAAACTCTAGCGGCAGGTGCAGCACCTAACGGTGGGGTGAGTGGATAAGTCTCACAACCACTGGCACAAGTGCCGACAAACCTCTTTAGCTGCATCTATGTACACATGGTGTATGTGAACTGGAGAAGAATTTGAAGATTCATTGTGAGATCTGGTTAATCTCTTGTTCAGAAAAGGCGATAATGTACCTCAATCTTAGCATGACCATTATCTCCGAACATTTTGAGATCTTAGGCAGTGAAAAATGATTGAACTTCACAGTTATCCGTTCAAATGGAACGAAATGGTGGTAGCGACTTTGAACTCGACCTGATACTTACACCCGTTCCTCACCAGAAGCTCCACATCACTTTAAAAGGTTTAAATTTCAGCCAGTATGGCAACTGCACTGTTTCTACGAGTGGAACATGTGGAAGTTGCCATATAGGGATGTGAGCTCTCCTCTTGGCACATGGAATACAACTCGATTTACTCCGATCTAACGAGTGATGCTGACCCTATACTCACATCATTAACGGAATCCTTTTTCTTCTTCTTTTGTGTTCGTTTGCAATGTATCTTACTGGCCACAACGACCGTATTCGCCAATCTATGTAAACGAAGTAAGTCCATATTCAGATGTACCCTTGATGATATTGGCATGTGTACCGGTGTGGTATTACTTAAAACTCCGGGTGTACGTATAACTTCATCTGACGGATGATTGCTATATATCAGGATAGATCGTCGCGAGTGGCAAAATTATATCACGGATACAAATGTACCCATCAAATCCGGGGTCAATATGCGCATAATGGCTCAGCTAATATGATCTCATGTCGTGTATTCTTACGCTAGGACTCCCCGTGGTGCGTCTACATGAATTATAATTACAGCCTCCTGCCTACAACATCCACACGCATTGTTCACCACCTCCTGCCCACACCAGCCACACACTTCGCGCTCACACTGCACTGCTAGCCCCTGCCTTCAACAACCACACACTCTGCACACAGCCCCCTGCCTAAAACATCACCGCTACTGCGCTAGCCCCCACAGTCTCACACAGCTTTTTATACCACCCTCTCCTGGCATATATACCGGCATGGTCGGCACCCGATCTTCATGTTGCCTGATGATTGCGTAAGCATGAAACTTAAAGTAGCAGCAAACAAGCCTTGATTGTCCTTGTTGTTCTGTTGTGTATTACGCTCTGCCTTTGTGGTGTTGAGCACTGTCGAGCACTCTGGGTACATCCTTCGGTGAATTATAATTATAATGTCCATCACTTCACATGCGTACTTCTTAGTTTGCCTGGCAACACTTCGCTCCTTCAATGTTTTAGTAATGAAAGAAGTTTGCTAGTAAGAAGTGGCTTGATGAGGAGCACATTCGGGCTTATAAGCAGGATATCCGACTCTCCGGCATTGACTCCATCATGGGTGTATCATGTTTTATTGTACTTTGAAGGTCTCACCGTCTCAGTCAGAATGTCATCAACTCCTTCCCAATGTCATGCAAAGATCTCCAGAAATCCAAAGATAACGCAAACCTGCCATCCGGTAAGCAATTCTATGTAGCTTGAAAAACAGAGTAAACATATGATAAACCTACCTGCGTAGATTTGAATGGTTGGGGTCAGAATGTCTTACTTGCCATTAAAGGACATACCAGGACATACGTTCTCTTTTTCTATCGCTGGTCCGGAACGGACGTATTGCACTGGTGATTGCGTCAAAGTTTTTCTCAGCCACCTCTACGTACGTGGAGCACTAAGGAAAGTTAATTGCACTACGAATTTTGTAGTATTGATTCTCCTTGCTTCCCTCAACTTGCTAGAAAAGGGTATAGCGTATGAATTTGTGTACATCGTAGGAACCCTATATCACGTAATTGTGAGAGTGAAATCAAATGTCACTGCCACACTTTTCTCGTGTGTTTTTGTTTTGTTTAGGCTATAACATGATCCTGTCGCACAAAGGCACCTTCATTAAGGTAAGGGAGACGAAAGACAACAGCGTAGACACGATAGATTCACGGGCAGCGATTCAATCCCACAGCGTGTTTGGATTACGTCATTCCGGTTACGTTTTTAAAATACTGGGCGTTATCGTTCATGTTTAATTCTCCATCGATCTCAATCTGACTGTTTATGGACATATCTACAAGGTAGGTACTTCAGTACACGTATCGCTTTTCTCTCTCTCGTCATGTACATGTACAAACACACGCACACACACGAACACACACACACTGGGAACAGAGAGATAGGCACAGCGAGGCGGACTGAGACAGTGAAAGGCATAATTATTGAATAGTTAGAACAAATACATGATGTACTGTACAGACATTCAAGCAAAGAAACATAGAAGTAGTTGGGTAAGAGCATTATAACGGGGAGCAATTCAACGTCTTGTTCTACGAACCTTGTTCATCCATAAGCATGTACAGACAGTGCACATCGAAGTATACAATTGTTCTAACACGGAAACCGTTCTCTGACCAAATGTCCAATGTAGAATACGTTCAGGTATAACCGTCTGCTGCGCTCTTCTCCTTAGGTGTATTGCGAGATGGAACGCTATGGAGGTGGATGGACGCGGATTGCCTACATAAATCCGAGGGAGAACCATGCACTTCCAAGATTTGGAAGTACCGCTATGCACAAGACCAATCACCCAATCTGGATTTTGCTCCTTGGCAACATTCCATGCTTTGCCTGGTGAATACAGCGAAGTCATGGGTTTTGTCACCGGCTATAGAGTAAGTAAAGTGTTATGCAGACAAGAGTTATCTTAAAGTTCTTTTTTTATAATGCAATGAATATAACTAAATGCGCACTCATATCACAACCATGGGGACGAATCATGTACATGTATTCCAGAACGTTTTCTTGTCACAATTATCAATGGAATTCGTGACTAAAAGAGAATGATGAAACTACAATAGGATTTATACACTTGGAGTGGAACAGCGAGGATACAAGCATAGTAAGAAAAATAGCACAAACCTAGGAACAATGTGCACAGGTAATAAACTATAGGTGCATTATTAAGATTATTGTCTCCACGTCGCCTTTTTTTCTTTTTTTATCGCAACAATATAATCTGACAAAATCACAGTGGTTATTATTATTATTATTATAATTTGAAACTCGGATGTTGAGCCATAAATAAATGTAGAAAAGAAAAGGACATATGGATACAAGTTACGAGTAATTCTCCATCACTGTAACTGGATACTGTATACAGTCAGAAAGTGCAATAACTAGGCACAAAACTGACAAAACTGACTGTATATAGTATCCAGTTACAGTGATGGAGAGTTACTCTTAACTTGTATCCATATGTCCTTTTCTTTTCTACATTATTATAATTATTATTTGAAACTCGGATGTTGAGCCATAAATAAATGTAGAAGAGAAAAGGACATATGGATACGAGTTAACTCAATCTGCGGACAGCATGCTGTTTCGTTCTTTTTGAACTCATCAGCGCAGCACAGAGAAATGAGGCCGAACCTGATAGCAATGGAAATAAAAATAAAAATTTCCAATCAGGCCCGAACGTACCTTGCCAGAGTGCTCAAACTGACAAGTCAGTGAGCTCTGCATAACGCAAACAGCAAAGGCACTACCCCACACGCAAGAGTGCTCAACTGCTACAAGAGCAGGAGCGAAATACTCAATCTGCGGACAGCATGCTGTTTCGTTCTTTTTGAACTCATCAGCGCAGCACAGAGAAATGAGGCCGAACCTGATAGCAATGGAAATAAAAATAAAAATTTCCAATCAGGCCCGAACGTACTTTGCCAGAGTGCTCAAACTGACAAGTCAGTGAGCTCTGCATAACGCAAACAGCAAAGGCACTACCCCATGCAAGAGTGCTCAACTGCTACAAGAGCAGGAGCGAAATACTCAATCTGCGGACAGCATGCTGTTTCGTTCTTTTTGAACTCATCAGCGCAGCACAGAGAAATGAGGCCGAACCTGATAGCAATGGAAATAAAAATTTCCAATCAGGCCCGAACGTATCTTGCCAGAGTGCTCAAACTGACAAGTCAGTGAGCTCTGCATAACGCAAACAGCAAAGGCACTACCCCACGCAAGAGTGCTCAACTGCTACAAGAGCAGGAGCGAAATACTCAATCTGCGGACAGCATGCTGTTTCGTTCTTTTTGAACTCATCAGCGCAGCACAGAGAAATGAGGCCGAACCTGATAGCAATGGAAATAAAAATTTCCAATCAGGCCCGAACGTACCTTGCCAGAGTGCTCAAATTGACAAGTCAGTGAGCTCTGCATAACGCAAACAGCAAAGGCACTACCCCACGCAAGAGTGCTCAACTGCTACAAGAGCAGGAGCGAAATACTCAATCTGCGGACAGCATGCTGTTTCGTTCTTTTTGAACTCATCAGCGCAGCACAGAGAAATGAGGCCGAACCTGATAGCAATGGAAATAAAAACTTCCAATCAGGCCCGAACGTACCTTGCCAGAGTGCTCAAACTGACAAGTCAGTGAGCTCTGCATAACGCAAACAGCAAAGGCACTACCCCACGCAAGAGTGCTCAACTGCTACAAGAGCAGGAGCGAAATACTCAATCTGCGGACAGCATGCTGTTTCGTTCTTTTTGAACTCATCAGCGCAGCACAGAGAAATGAGGCCGAACCTGATAGCAATGGAAATAAAAATTTCCAATCAGGCCCGAACGTATCTTGCCAGAGTGCTCAAACTGACAAGTCAGTGAGCTCTGCATAACGCAAACAGCAAAGGCACTACCCCACGCAAGAGTGCTCAACTGCTACAAGAGCAGGAGCGAAATACTCAATCTGCGGACAGCATGCTGTTTCGTTCTTTTTGAACTGGATACGAGTTAAGATTGTTATTATTATTATTTGAAACTCGGATGTTGAGCCATAAATAAATGTAGAAGAGAAAAGGACATATGGATACGATTTAAGAGTAACTCTCCATCACTGTAACATAATACTATATACAGTCAGAAAGTGCAATAACTAGGCACAAAACTAACAGTGTACTGAGACATTCGACGTCCTGACACCTAGCTTCAACACATCTCCGTAGCGCTAACCGACAGCCTTCCAACTTGGAAGGTTCAAGGTTATGGAAAGACCAAAGAGGGGAAGGCAAGCGCAACGAAAACGAACAAAAGCTACAGTCCCAACAAGAAAACGTTATGGAACTTGACTTTCTTCATTTTTGCTGTTGTTATGAGTGCACAATTTATCTTATTTATTTCCATTTCACG